GCAATGAATATTAAAGATATGGAAGAAAATTTGAATCTTCAGCATACAAGTTCGTTGAACAGTGACTTTGCAAAGGATTACACAACAATGAAATTAACTGAAGAATTCAGACCTCACTCAGAAATTGACATAAGCGTACAAGAAACACAATCATCCACAACTGTGAAAAGCCACTGTTCTCCAGCTTTATTAGAAATTCCACTGTTGAAGTTTGTTCCAAAGGTTTCAGCTATCAAGAAGAATCTATATCTGAACAACTCAGTCACAAACTTCATGAATCTACGAAAGAAGAATTTTCCTCCTGGGGCGAAAGTGCAGCTGCAAATGTGGTTGTGTCGGAAAGGAGTAAAGAAAAATTCACAGAGGTAATAGAGTGTAAAGTTGACGAACTAACGTTTAAGTTTATTGCTAGAATTATTGAATTAAGTAAACAGGAGGTTAAAGCATTGGTGTCGATAGGAGTATTTAAAGACATGCAATCTTTTGTGAGGGTCGACGAAACATCTCTAGAATTCACACTTAAAGAGCACATCAAGAGTGATGACAAAGTTGCTTGTGACAGTCTATTTAAATTAATTCCAATAAAGAAGGCTATGAACATGGCTCTTCAGCTTGATACAGAAGCAAGTTTGGATTTTTTGAGATCCGTTCCAAACAAAGACGATCGGTTCCTTCTCTGTATTCAAGATTTGAATCAGATACAATTCGAGGTAGTGTTTGCTGGACACAAAACTTCAAAGATGATGAAGCTATCCAGCATCGTCTCTAAAGATCCTGGTATGTGCTTGATTTTGATAAGCAATGCTCGTCAAACAAAAAGTTTCCTTATCGACACATTAATAAAAGTCAGTGGTATTCCAGTTGCACCTACCATCTCTTTTCCAGACTACACCTGTTACTTATATAATTCTGAGGAAATTACACCTGGATTTCTTTGGGAAAAGTTTGAGACAATTATTGAGTACAACGAGACATCAGCAAGTACAAAAGGATTAATTTCAAAGAGCAATGCTAAACATTATATCCTCAAAACAGTCCTTCCTCCCCAGGGTGACATTGCAAGTCAAAACCTGGAGGAATTCAAGATAATTGCATATTCCTCATTAGATTTTAAAGTTTTGCAGTGCTTGGAATCCGAATTTAATTTTGTAGTGTTTCAACGTCAAGCAGCGGATCAGTATTCACACGAAACTTTGATCGTTGATGAGAAAACGTGCATCGTTATAGTCAGAAACCTCAACGAAATCAAGCAAGTTAGGTTACTATCAGCTCTTTTTATCAAGATTTCTCTGAGTTACAGCCTCATGAATTTGATATTTGATGTTTCCACATGCCATCATACTGAGCTTTACTCTATTATATTTGCCTCCATAGCACATTTCAAACCAGACGAATTGAAGATACAATCATTCTACTGCCTGTCTATTGAAGATATGTGTGGAAGAATTGTGAAAATTGCATTTGATGCTAAAAGCAATATAGGTATTCAGTGGAAATCAACAGAGTTGTGGTTAAAACGAACTTGGTTAACGGAAGAGAGAGCAACCACGAGAAGATATTATCCAAGATACCATGTATAAATTCGTATGTAGCACAGATAATGCTAACCACATATTCTCTGGCTGATCTGATGGGATTGGAATTGCAGGAATGTATTGAAAACATGCCAGTTATCCCTGAACATATCCTAACTGAGTTTCATAGGACAGTTCACATAACGAAAGTTTCAGAACAGAACAAAACAGTACAATTTGACACAGAACTGTCAGTTAAAGAATACACACCAACACGGCTGGAATCCCCTGTTCTAGCATATCAACGCACATCCCTTCCTCCTTTGAACACATCATTTGACATGGGCGATGCACTTTCATCTACGTACCAGACTCCTCGAGGTGGTCGTGGATATAAATATACAAATCTTATCAAAACACCGATGAAGCCTCAAAATGTTGTCAAACCATTTTTTTCCAGAAACGAACTTGCTGGGTCCTCTCAAAATAAAAGGGCTGTTGAAGAAAAACACAAATTCTCCTTCAGTTTCAGTAAACACAGAAAAGTGATGGTAGATAAGGATAATGTCAAGAAAGATGGCCAAGCAACACTCGTTATTGGTAAACGAGTATAATCAGATATCAGACTTAAAAATCGATTGTGTGATGGTTTTTTTAAATGTTTGTTAATTGTTTTCGGTTATTGAAATCTTACTTGAAATGCCAGTTCCATCCCAATGTGTTTAAATAAAGTATTGAGCCAGGATTGCTACCACAAAATCAAATATTATTTAATCTTTGATGTTCTCTCTTTATTATTGTAATGATTTAGTTTATCATGTTTACGTTAAACTATATTATAACTGTTGAGCTCTAACGCTAAACTATGAATTGTTTGTTTGTTCGTTTGGGGACCAGCTTTTGGTACACTGCAACTGGTTAATGTTTACTATAATATTGAAGTATTACATATTATAGAATAATTACATGAATTTAGATAAATATAAATTCCCTTTGCTTAGGACATACCAATATATCCAAAAATGAAACGATGAAGCGGTTAACATCATTCAAATGTTCAATGTTAGGAAACATATTTCAGGAACAGCTTTTATTCATTTGCATAATTTGAATTTCTGACAAAAAACTTAATCTTCCTCAGGAAATGGGTCTAGGATCATAGATTGGAGAGTGCTGGTGAAAGTTAAGTTGAAGAGCACCTTGCATGCAGTACCGCAATGTGATCCAACCATTGCTCTGCAAATTGAATGTAAAACCACCACCGGCTGCTCAAAATTGAGTCTCAACTATCGAATTCATTAACTGAAAGTAAGAGAGATAGAAGATACAGTCACTGGGGCATCCTTAAATTGAATGCCCCTGGAAAATGGTCCTCATCAAATTACAACACTGTGTTTGCTTTCATTGATAGTTTTGCAAAGTTAATGGTCATTCATGACAAAGCCATGGCTAAACAGTTTAATCCAGAACAGTCTGTCAACAAACAGTGTGAGCATATCATTCCATTGACAGGAGTTGAAGTAAATTCCAAACTTGATTTGGATGACTACAAACGAAAATCATTCTTCTTTACAGTAAGCAACGTTCCTGGCAACATTCAACCTGCCTTCACTTTTTGTTGTCAGACCTCAGTTGAGCGTGACAAATGGGTTGAAGTTTTGTTAAACTTATCAAACCTTGCTGTAAATCTTAGTGATATGCAAAGAGACTGCAAGGTCCTTCGTCACAAACTTCTCAGTGCCACAACTTTGTTGAAGATGGATGTTGGCGAGAAGCTCCTAGAGAATATACTAAGTGGTAGGTACAAACGTGGGAGCAGGAGGTATGAAGAAGTAAGGCTACATTTAGATGATTATTTTGAGATATGGGAGGGGGTAATGAGCAGGAAGATGGAAGTGCACAACGAGTTGTTGGCTTTTAATATGGCTATTGGTGAATCAGTGGAAGTTGGAGGAGACGAACTTGCTGGTAGAGGTGATGGTGGAAATAATACCAGTTATGATCATCGAACTAGAGAAGTGCTTTGTGACCAATCAAGTGAAAACCGTGTCGTCTACGAGTCTAGAAATGAACGTGGTGCATTGGTTAGTGATCGGTACAACGAGAAATCAAGTGGAACAGTTGGTAGTAGTCTCAGTAGTCCTCACAAAGGCATCGTTGGCATGTCAAACAATAAGACTATTGGTCCATCTGGAAACAAAACTATTAGTCCATCTGAGAACAGAAGAATTGGTCCATCTAAAAACAGAGTGATTGGATCATCTGAAAACATAACAATCATCCTATCTGGGGACAATGAAATTAGTCCATCTGCTGATGGAACAATTGGTCCATCTGGAGACAGACCAGTTGGTTCATCTAGGGTCAGAACGATTGGTCCATCTCGGGACAGAGCAAATGGGGACGGAACAATTGGTCCATCTGGGGATAGAAAAGTTGGTTTATCTGCGGATAAAACAATTGGTCCATCTGGGGTCAGAACAGTTGATCCAGCTGTGGATAGAACAATTGGTCTATCTGGGGATAGAAAAGTTGGTTTCTCTGCGGATAGAACAATTGCTCTATCTGGGGATAAAAAAATTGGTCCATCTGTAGATAGAAAAACTGGTTCATCTGGGGATATAAAAGGTGGTTCCTCTTGGGACACAATCAGTAGTACATCTCATGGGGACAGGATCTCTGGCAAGCAAAAGAAGCAGAGCAGATTTGGTACCAGGCAGATCAACGAATCTGATAAATCAGACAAGGAATCAATTCATAGGAGCACACCTAAATCTAAGCAAAGAACCAAAGAAAGTGTTGTTGTTAACCATGCACACTGTCTTGGCAATAATAATTCCCAAAGATATTCTCCAAGTGTAGCTAGTTCTACGGGTCAATCATCTTTCAGTGATGTTATAAATAAAGCGGTAGCTGAATTCGGTGGCAGATTGCCTGGAGAAGATGCCGAAACTAAAAAGAGTATTTTATTGAGAAAAATTGTTGCCGAATTCAAGAAGGATCCCCAATCTAAGGTTGATCTTTCGAAAATTTCTGCAAAGTTGGCGGACAAATTTAACTAATTATCAGAAAGTAAACTGTTTTCCTGAGATAATCTTTTAATCAGATAGAGATTCCTTTTTTCATATAATCTGCTGAATGATTGTTAAACTATTTATGGTATACTGTGCTGTTTGATTACAAATTATCACATTATTTAATTTTGATGATATCAAATCGGATATCGATATTCGGTATTACCTTATTTTTGTCAACAAATTATAAGCAAGTGTTTTGCGAATTATCGAAGTTTGTAATATTTTCGGTCGCATTCCGAAATTGTATCTTTTCTACTAGCTGATAATACGCCTTTTAAAGATGAAATTACATTTTCCAGCAGTGACCGTGACAGAAGTTTGCGCGCCTTTTTCATTCTCGTTTATTTGGCGAAATCCACCTTCGAATACAAAGTGTACTTAATTTCTATTTATTTCATGAAACAGCAAAAATAATCAAAGCACCTGATGTTCCATACTGCTCCTCCATCGGAGGAGCTCCTTGGCTCAGCCGGAGCAGTACCTCAACTTCCTCTCCCTCATCCGGGAGATGTGAGCTCTCATGACGAGTCGTATCATGTGGTCAGAACTACTTTGTCCCACCATAATACCATGCCTCCCTTACTGCAACCACACAATCAAACTCTCAATACTCCCTACAAGGTTTGTAACATACAATTAGTGAAGCTCGTATGTCCTCGATAATTCAGTTATTCCGGCACATTTGAAGATATTATAATCCATGACATGATCTCACATTTTCTTTGATTTGATTCGAGCAGTGAGCACATTACGAAATTGATAAGTGTTCAACACTAAAATTCTCAGGAGCAGAGGTTCAAAACAAACCCCTCTGAACGAATCGGGAATTGTTACAGTCCGGACGCCCAAAAGCTCAGCATCTCGAAAAGGTCTGGCGTGGAGATCAGGCGTTTCAAGAAGATTCAAAAGAAAGACAGCGGAAACCAGCCCCCAGTTCTTGACCTGATCCCAGACGGGTACGCCATCCAGTTCACGCCCTCCCAGCAGTTTATCAATATGGGGCAGGTACGTACAAGGTGGTCCAAATTCACGTCGATATGACCGAGGATCGAGCGGGACCAAAACCGAGATCAGTACTAAGACCGGGATCAGGATTGAGCACCGTATAGCTAGGGTCATAAGACTGTGATAGGAATTTTTGGGTTTTACTTGCCACGATTGTCCAGCATTTATACCAATAAGATATTACCCAATGCCAGTTTTTGATTTTATAATGTATTTTAATTATTGATCTTATTTCGTCAGCGAACTTGACTGGGTGATCCTATTTCATTAACAAAGAAACAAGTGTGTAGAATTTATATTGTCTCAGGAAGACTTACCCCTTATCCCGCGCCCGTGTGTTACAAAACTGAATGTTAATGTAATATAATACTTAAACACTCACTTATAATGTACTCACTTATGTTGTACTCACTTATAATGTACTCACTTATAATGTACTCACTTATAATGTACTCAATTTATAATGTACTCAATTTATAATGTACTCAACTATACTTGAGTTATGAGTATAAATTGTGACCGTGTAATTTACCTCACGGTTTATAGGTAAGAGGTATGCTAAAAGTTTGAGCGCTTATAATTTCCCAGTCATGGCAAAGATTGGATTATTTAAGAGATAACAGAAAACAAAATAAAATTTAAAAAGTCCTTCATCTAATTTCTTGCAGGCAAAGAGACGAGATAAAGGAAACTTTTTGCATCCCACTTCTACCGATGCTATGCGTTATAATTGGTATTTGGAGAATGCTTTTGATTTGAAGTCAATTCCAAAGTTGCCGGAGGAGAACATTGTAAATTTTAGGAACAAATGCGGAAGGCCTTTCACGATGAATAAGAGTAAGAAATCGCCAATCAAATTTTGTTAGTTTTATTCGCTAGCACTCTAGTTATAATAGTGATGATATTCTTGGTAATTTAAAATGAGGTTGTGATAATTTATGATTTACTGACAATAAAGTTTATTCATCAAGTAAAACATTTAATGTACAAAAGCATAAAAATGAAAAGAGGTGAACAAAATCGCGTACTTGTATATCACATTCGCTAAAAATCAAGGAATAGAGGTGTTCAATGACCTCCCTCATATTTAGGTCAAGAAGCAGATTTCATGAACGAAGTGAAGATGCTATACAGTGCGAGTATGCGACAAAGTATCATTGACTATATTCTGCTGGATCCTGATGAACGGAGTAGACTTGGTATTGAGGTGCAGAACAAGCCGTTCCAACAGAAAATTGTGGAGGGTCCGTCCCCTTGGAATCATTCTACTGTGTGAGGCTTATTCTTACTTTTACCCTGGCCTTTATTCTTACTTTTATCCTGGCCTTTATTCTTACTTGTAGATGGCTTTTGTTCTTATTTTCAGTTGGCCTTTATTCTTACTTGTAACTGGCTTTTGTTCTTATTTTTAGCTGTATAATGCCCGAAACCCTTAGGCGAACATACCCTGAGTCTGAAAGAAACGAACTAAAGAATTTAGGAAATTAGTTTTTATAATTATATTGCATGAGATCTTGGTACAGAAAACCCCAATTTACCGTGGAGTTTGGGGAAAAGGATACATCTGCGGTAAATTGAGGTCCGCAGTAAATCAGGGTTTTGTTAGCTTACATTGTGCGCTTTTTGGGCAAAAGAAATGGCCGCGGTAAATCGGGGTTGCGGTTAATTGGCGTATTACTGTATCTAATTAAATCTAGCCACATCACACCCAACAACTTGATGACTTGATCTCTTTCCTCCAGGACCTGCCGACAGTGGCTCTACAAGAATCTCTTCTCTATCTCGCCAGTCATGTTAGAAATAAACAGACTGTGGTTCACAGAATACAAGGACAGGAGACCTTTTGATCTTGCTGAGTTAATCGCTGATGGTATTCCCAGCCCAGCAGAGCTCAAGAACAGCGTAACTATGAAGAGTGCTGAGTTCAAAGAAACTGTCCTGCTGAAGGGGTAAATACATAATTACATAAATACATATTTCAGAAGTTCAGTCTGGATATTAAATTTTCGTCAGATTTATAGTAAACGTGCTGTAACCACTTTAAATCAAAACATCTCCAAATTCTAGATGTTATTGTTTTCATCAGGGTGTTTACACTCGCCCTTTCAGATATATAGAAGACTGTCGCAAGATAATTTTAGCTCACCTGGGTTTCTGGGAGGTACTTTTACCGCATCACAACCGTGGTACTACCACTTCCGGGCAGTCCTCCGAGTACATAGTCAAGTTCTTTGATACCATAGCGGCGCTCATGAGCAGACACTTGTGTGGTATGATTTACTCCTTCTTCAATGAGATTGCTGACTTTTTCTCGCGGTATAAGAATGGCAATGTGTACATGAATCACCGTAACTCGGCACACAATGGCGATGATGTCGATGGGTTCCCAAGTGGAAATGAAAAATGGAAAAATCCACTCGTCAAAATCGAGGTAACCTGGTAACCCAATGCGTATCCGATAATCGCGTCTTAGAAATCGAATTCATGAATATCACCAATTACATACATTATATATTATGAATGATTAAATACTGTAAAAATACCGAATATAATTGAACTTCACTAACCCCAACTTTTGTAGGTGAACATAGTCGATGGTAGAATATTATTCAACCCTCCGCTCGAGACCATATACCCTATTTTGGAGGTGATGGTAGACGACATCATGAGCATCATAACTCAGATACCGTGTTTACAGAAGAGTATCTTCCCCCACAGCCGCTCCAATGCTAAACTTAAATGCGTTAGTTTTTTCAAGCGGTTTCTATTAATTGAGAAATTTTGTATTTCAAAAAGTTATGATACTGATCAGTTATCAATTAAAGTGTTACTGTTCCGATATAGGAGTTGAGACTTGAGCAGTTTCCTGAGTTAGATAAAACATCGCAAATTGTTAGTCATTTGTGCAATTGGAGCAAATTTTTTTTGAACCTTGACATAATACCATAACATAACGTTATAATATTATGAACACAGATCAACAGAATGAACTACTACTACATAGAGCTGGTTATGAGGATGCAACTGATAATCGAACACAACTTTGATGGACCATTTAAGCTTATTCAGGTAATTAATATGTTGTCTAACTATTTAATACTTGCCAATAGTGTAACTCTATTTATCCATATTCAAACTTTAAGTAGAATCAGACAAGACATGGGACATTGGGACTGTTTTAAATATAACCAACCTGACCAGATTTTTGACGATCTGCTAAAGTTTGTGGATGGGAAGGAGGACCGCGTGGTCCAGCAAGTGATAAACGATTCTTACTGCTTAGTGACTTTCGAAGAGAAGTTGATGGCCCTGCGAGAGACTCGCCTGAAGATAGCTCGTATGCAAGGGTAAATAGACGACTTTTTAGTTACAAATATAATTCTGCCAGGTACAAGTTTGTGAGGGCCAGTTCTACGTGCGGTCTGCGATAAACATTTAATATTATCAGCTATATTGCATGTTTTACAAGGCTGCTTCATTCCCTCACTTTCATTACAGATCAGTAAACCTTAACTTAATCCACCTTGACTTGTCTCCCGCCCAAACGAAGCTGTCTGATGGAATAAGCGACCTTATGGCAACCATCACTGACTACGTTCTGCACGGTAAGGAGAGAGGTCTTAACTTCATGACTGAGAAGATTGCTAACTGCATGATTGAATAGTCAATTTAATTGTTGATAAAACACACATTCAATAAACGTCCTAACGCTGGTTTCCCAGGCAACCGATTGTATCAGAAAGAGATCTGCCGCAGTTTTGACGAGATCTCCGAAACAATCCTCCTTCCAACTCAGACTACGGAGGAACTGATAGATTTGAACCATTATGTGGATAACACGGAGAAGGTTGTGTTCCCACAACTTGATGTGAAGCTGGTGGAGGCTGAGAAAAACGTGCTCTTCTTACTGGAGTGAGGATTGAGTTATTATTAAGAGTGCCCTCTGCAATCTGCATTAACTTTTATAGAATAATCAGTTATCACTTATCAGTTTAAAAAAATAATTTGTGTGATTATCTGAGGTAATATCAATTGAATTGTTGAGCTGCAGTCATCTCTCTTCAACTTATTCTCAATCCTTCCACTGCAGGTACAGTGATTTGAGTGATGAAGACTTCAAGCTTCATTCAGTAACATTCAGCTGGCCAGCTAGGATCAAACCAATAATCCAACTGAGTAGAAACAGACTGACCCACAAGAAGGATCTTGCCACTACTGAACTGAAAGAGCGGATCAAACTGTTTGAGCAGCATGTTTCTAAATGGTACCACGCTGTTATAGTATGATAATAGTAACTTATGAGTCTCTCTAAGTGTTTAGAGAGTCGTGCTATACTTTCATTGTGTAAATGTAAGTGCTGCACTTTGGAATATGTTAATAATCAATTAACTACTCCCCTTTGGAAGAGATTCTATTCCCTAACTCTACATGGAAATTAAATTCTAGGAGCATTGTGGCGGAGGAGATAAAAGAGTTGGATTTCTCGTCTGGTACTAAAGCAGTAGAGGATATAGAACGAAATGTGGAGCAGTTTGGTAATCTTCACTCTGATCTAGAGGGAGGAAGGGTAGAACTTGAGGAGGTGGGTTTAGACGTTAATAATCTAGTTGTGGTTGGTAGTTCAGTAAACATCTCGAATATGGTGCCCATGGGGGTGAGGGTTGGAATCCCCCCGGCCCCCCTTGGAATGAAATCAGCACACATTCAACTGATGTATTTGTGATACACTGATTATCAGGTCCTATCATTTAGATACGTAAAGAACAGAATTTACTGGGAAAAGAAGCTCTGAACGCTCAAGATCTTGAGGGAATCTTCATCGATATTGGTTACTAAATTATAAAAATAAATTCTAACATTTATTACAAGCTTCGTACATGATTACCTGGGGACCTCAGGCTTTTCTGTTCATAAACAGAACCGATTGAAGATGCGGCGGAATGACAGACTGAGCGCCGCCCAGTAACGTACAAGATAGATTACTATTTAGTATTTACTGCTCGGCCCTTTAATCCGAATGATTAAATGCTAATAGTATTTTCACAAACAAATATTTTCGAACATAATTCTCTTCAGAGCCGTTCGAAACATTCTGGGGCGTGGCGGTACAGGCGATGAAGAAGATGGAGGACTGGATGTTCGGACCGTTCTTGAAACTCAACTTTGTAGCCCTAGAGGAGGTTGTTCTTAGTTTCTTGCTTTAGTTTGACTTGTTTTAAAGAGCATGTTTTAAATACTGGACTTCTTATCATTAGTTCATTGATTCAGTTTACTACAACTTTACATATTAAAAACGAAGACAGTCACAGGAATGTTAAAAAATAAATTGTTGAAATTTAAAAAAATTTAATTGTGATTTCTAATCTGCTCCAATGTGATACAGGAGCTGAACGAGCTGTACAGAACAAACTTCAAGGTTGTCAAGATGTTCCATGATAATCCCATACCCAAAAGATGTGCTGAGAACATTCTTAATCGCCTAACTAAATTTAAGGTATGCACATATTTTACATACTGTAAGGCACCTCACAATCCATTTATTGATGATACCTCGCTTTATTTTGCATAGGTCTTTTTTAATTAAAAAAAATTCTATCCTTTCCTAATCAGAGCACTTAATGAATGGTTAGTTTAAAATTATAAAATGTTGACGTTTTGTATTACAGGATCATTTGCGGCTACTAGCAGTGATATGTAATCCTGGTATGGCTAACAGACATTGGACAGAGATTGCTGATCTGTTTGGTGACGAATTCACGATTGACATAGAATCATCGCTTTCCGTCATGATCGATATGAAACTTAACGAAAAGGTATTTAATTTTCTAAAATGTTTCGTTCCTATCCCTTAGTTGAATTACTTGGAATGGCAGGAAAGTTACAACTTTATATTCGATATAAATAACTTATTATCATGAGTTGTCCTATGAACGCTCCTGTAAATATACCTAAAAACATTTTACCTACTTACCTGGCGATTATCTTTGGTTATAAAATCTAGCAGTGTATGGAGACTCTAGTATTCTAGTAACTTATTGAAAACCCTGCCTAAATTCAGATAGACAAGCTAGAAGAGATCAGTACAGCAGCAACAAAAGAACACACCCTGGAGACGAGTCTACGGAAGATGCAAGAGGAGTGGCAAGAGATGATCTTCACTTTCATCCCTTACAGAGATACAGGAACCTACATTATATCCGCCCTCGATGAGATCCAGGTTTTTGTTTTTATTATTACTTCTCAGAGAGCACCTTTTGTAATTTAATGACCTTGTTTTTTCTCTTTTTTTTCAGATACCTTGAGAAGAAAGGGTTTTAATCACATTTTAACATTCTTATTTTATATTTTCTTCTAATATTAAATTCCAAACCGCGGTACCGGTAAATTTCATGAAAATGCACAATATCTCAAACATTTACAGTTCAGTTCTGATAAAATATATGAACTTTCAGACGCTCCTTGACGATCACATCATAAAAACGCAGACTATGAGAGGATCACCTTTCATCAAACCTCTGGAAACTGAGACTACCATTTGGGAGAAAACTCTCATTACAGTACAGGTAAGAATGAGAACTGAGTTATAATTAGTTCAAATTGTTCCGGATAATTTCATTAGAGATATAGTAAACCTTTTACAAATTCTACTTCTCTTATTCAATCTGTAGAATGTTACGGTAATAGATTATATACATTGTATAATGTATAATATATACTAAAATTTTATAAACTACACAATATATATATATTGTGTAGTTTATAAAATTGTAGTATATTCAATTTGATCAACTAACCTTTTCGCTTGTACAGGACATTATAGACGAAGCGTTGAAATGTCAGGCAACATGGTTGTATCTAGAGCCCATATTCTCGAGTGAGGATATCATGCAACAAATGCCGAGGGAAGGTCGAGCGTTCTGTATGGTCGACAAGAATTGGAAACAGGTCATGGCTAAGGCTGTGGTAAGTTTATATTCTGTTATTACGCCGCCACATGTTACTTATACTTAATTCTCTGGGTTTTAGTTTATGATTTTAAAGTACGTATCTAATAAATGTTTTTCATTTTCTAGTTAAATAAAAATAAACATTCCAGATAGATCCACACGTGCTCACTGTGACTAAGATTGAAAAGGTTGTAGATGATCTGAAGCACAATAACAATCTTCTAGAGGACATTCTCAAAGGGTTAAACAATTATCTTGAGGTATTATTCTGGGGTTGCCACCATTTGCTTGAAATTTGATTATTTTTTATTAATTCGAATCAAACTTTTACTTTACTAAATCAACTTGTTTTTGCTCGAGTTAAAATGGACAAACATCGCTGTGTTTAAAATGAACCATGACACAGGTAAAGCGACTGTACTTTGCCCGCTTCTTCTTTCTCTCAAACGATGAACTGCTCGAGATTTTGTCAGAGACAAAAGACCCCACCAGGGTTCAGCCCCACATGAAGAAGTGTTTCGAGGGAATTGCAAAGCTTGAGTTCGATGACAAAAGGGTCAGTTATTCTTTTAAGGGTGGCAAAGCTTGAGTTCGATGACAAAAGGGTCAGTTATTCTTTTAAGGGTGGCAATTTTTCATTGACTCGATGTAATTTCCTTTTTACACGATTTATTAAAATGTATTCCTTTCCTAAATCAGATAATAACTGGAATGATATCGAGTGAGAGTGAGCTGGTGAAGTTGTCTAAGCCTATAAACCCACATTTAGCGAAAGGTTGCGTCGAGAAGTGGCTACTAGAGGTTAGTTATTTTTTTTAAATTACTTTTTACAAATAAAAACTGCAGTGTACAATTTTTATCTTTGGCGTGTTAGTTAATTGCTGGTGTAACGGAATATGGACATCGTGCAGCAAACTGTGTTCCTTTAAGTTTAACAACATCCTTTCCAGGTAGAGAATGAAGCAAACTGTATTTATTTATTTAAAAATCATCCTCTCCAGGTGGAGAATGGTATGAAGCAATGTCTAAGAGACATAGGAGAGAAAGCTGTTTTAGCGTACAGTGAGACAGTGCGAGAAGAGTGGGTGTTAGAGTGGCCTGGTCAGATTGTTCTGAGCGGGAGTCAGACTCATTGGACTACAGAGGTCTCTGATGCTATCTCACAAGGTACGAGAAGTAACATTGTGTTTTTATTATCTTGTAGATTGATAAGAAGCCGAGACAGTACGTGCAGTAACTCTGAGAAGCAGTAACCTTATCTTTAAAATATCTAACTTTGAACTTCTCGCTAATGTTTTTCTGAACAATCTGACAGAAATGGAAGGAGCAGTTGCCAAGTTTCTGTCCTGGCCGAATGTCCCGAAAACTTTTTGGTCTATCACAGTTAGCAATATCGGTCGATGTTGCACAAAAGGGCGGTATAAGTTCAATAGTGCGAAACCGCCATATATGTCATTATGTTGTGTCTGCACGCTAGATGAATTCAATTACAATAGTGTGCCCTCTTGGGGATATATCGCAAAGCAATGGCAATTCAGGGTTAGTACTACATAGTTAGCTATACTTACACAATGTATCTATGTATCAAGAGGAATCTAATCTTAGGGTTGAGAACAAATAACTAATAAATGTATTCAATCTCATTCATATACATATACAAATAGTCCGTTCGGCGCTTTGGTTTTGATGTGGTATAATATGGAATACAATCGTAAATTTTTTTACGCCCACTTTTCTGAGACACTAAAGATGAAAGATATAAATAATGACCTTGCTCTTTTTGAACAGCACTCTACTTTGTTTCGCTTTTTTGGTATTTTCATGCATCGGTTTATATTTAGAGATTTAAACACATAATTTATAACTTCCCTAGAGCCTTCCTTAGACCTGGATGAAAACATGTCGGGTCTGCGCGGTCTTCTGGGCGATATTCTCAACCTTAATCCCAGTGATTGTGTTGATGGTCTTGCTAAAAGTAACAGTGATCCCCAATTACCATGGCGCCCAATTCGAGATCGGAACATGCCTCATAGAGAACTCCTCAGATTTCAACGTGCAACAATTCATTTGGAAGGATTGTTCTTGTGGAGTTCTCTGCACTGCAAAATTCCCGTGTATCCCTCTTGCTGGATATTTTACCCCGTTTGGAGGAGGTAACAGTTTCTAAGCGTGAAGGATTGTTCTACACCGACTACAGTGCTCTCCAGAAAAGCTGCTTTATGGAACCTGATAAATGCGAAAAGGATAGTTTTAATAACTCTAAAACCATCAACAATTTCATATCACATACCTTTCATTTACATTGGCATCAGAGGAAGGGCTTCACTGTTGGGGCTATGAGAGAATATTTTATTTGGAGAATAACTACTCTATAAAAAAGGCGATTGTGGTATTAGTCGCGCCTATTTTCTTCATCATTGCAGGCCCCTCGGTGGCATGTATTTTATGGTGTATATTTAAGTGCTGAAAAAGTGGAAGAACTTTGAACATAGTTTGGGTAAAGATTAACAATTAGTAACTTCGTTGATTGAATTGCAGGTCACCTTTCCTAGGTCAGGAAGTTTGGGGTCAGGGCGTCCTTTCACCTTTGGCTAGACGTGCTCTAACTTTAAACCCAAAACGCTGGTGCGATTTAAGATAAAGACGTTTGAAGCTATATAAATACCAATTATGGATGTTCTTATATTTATTTGTCTGGATGATGGACACTTTTAATGGCGTAAGTCTATATATAGCTACATGAACAGAGTTATCTTTTCAGCATTCTTTTTCCCTTATACAATATACATCTCCTTTAATTTTAATAATTAACAAGAACACGCCAGTATTACGATAGTTGGATTGTAATTGATTGAGACTGTATAAGATTCTGCAATCTTGCACGGTTTTACACAAAAACATTATTTTCCAGCGAACCCAGTTAGAGTGCCTTTTTATTGTTTTGATATATAACCAGGAGTTGTTTTCAATTATATATTGTAGTTAAATTTTACACGCTGCACATAAAATAACGATGAATGTGATTCCTGAGTTGTTTGCCAGAGGCACTTAAATGCCCATCCAGTAAATATGATAATCACTCGACGGGTAGGATCTTTTTGTTGATTTGATATCTAAGTTATTGGTTGATTGAGTTGTGAACGAGAGCTACAGTTTTTTCCATTGTATCATGGGGGCGGGGGGGGCCGGGGGGATTCGGATTTTTCAAAAGACCCATGATTACCTGATCCAATTTGTCTTGTTGTCAAATACCATTTTAATTTTTAACAACTTCTGTATTAAGTTGAGTACAATTTGTTATTACCTGTTCCACTAACTACAACGACTTCATGTACTGCGATATCTCCTGTTGTCTTGCTTAGTTTCACCGTGTCTCCTTCAATGTTACAGAGTAGCGTGTAGATCTGATCTGCCTGATTTAGTCCGTACGTTAGTTGGAGTGTTCCACAAGACTTCTGTTGTGCTTGTCCCTGGTACACTGACACATCCACGTTGTTATGACCATCCACACAGCGCTTAAAATTAGCTTCACTTTGTGCACACCAACTAGTATCATCATGCCAATCGGTGTAGAACGAATGGTATATGACGATCTTGTGAATGAAGTAGGTTCTATCAAACTCTAACTTCAACCAGCCTGCTCCATTGTCAGTGTAAGTTACTGCTCCTGTCAAGAGATCTTTATCAACTGCATGTGCTGCAGCAAAAAGTTCCTCGTCGTTCTCGAACGTCCGTCCTTGTGTGACTCCCGTTGGTGTTATTTTTGCTACCTCTGCATCTGACTCTGGCTCTACAATAATACATGTATGTATTATATTAAACCCGATCTCGGATAGATACAGTTTCCACTCAATTTAACCTTAATGTTTTATTTTGATCGATATTCTATTCTATTTTGATCTATTTTCTATTTTTTAAACCAAAACCCAAAATTTGGTTGAGTATACCGTCACCAGTGTCTCCTTTCTCCAGACAGAAAGAAATTATATCAATTTAAATCTGTTGAAAAATCGGTTGGCAGTCGAAGTTTTAACGTGTCCATGTGGTCCTTAATAATATTATTCAATAAAAATATTGACTAATAATTTGATGTTGAGCTTACCTGATATCTGTGTCTGTGTAGCCACAATAAGAGTAAGAAACCAATGCAAAATAGCAAATTTGTTGAAAATATTCATCCTAAAACATTTTTATTTTATTTTAAGCCTAAGGCATACAACACTCGGAGCGAAAAGCTTACTCTCGCAGCCAGGATCCTGAGGATTGAATAACAAAAGAGGCTCCCACTAGATTAAATTGATAGATTCAAAGTTATCGTTCAACCACCATCAATAAATTAATTATCACTGAACTAAAACGGACATCCATATTTATATTATATATATTGGCAGCTGCCAACCATTACCATTCGCCAATTCAATCGCGCCACGACAAAAACTCAAAAATACCATACTATACTCTCCATGCGACTTCATGAAGGCAGTTTCTAAAAACTAAACGAAGAGCTGGGAGAGACACTGTGAGAGAGGGCCAACGGTCCGCCGAGGTGTTAGATCATTAATCTTCTAATTCTATACAAAGTAAAGACTAACTTTTACAGATCCTAACATAACAATTAACAAGCTACCCTAGATCTGTAAAACACAATAACATTACAAACAGTAAGTCATATTGAGAGGATTTGGTTGTTTTGTGTTGCCGTGGTTGATCTTGTCCGTGGTTGCTGCTGGAGGCGAATAACATAAATTTAAACCTTATAGAAATACACGGCAGAAACACAAATGCAATGGATTAAATTGATAGATTCAAAGTTATCGTTCTATTCAACCACCATCAATAATTTGATTCTCACTGAACTGATAAATTATTGTTGAAAACGGGCATCCATTTATATTATGATGCAATTGGTAAGTTGCTGACCATCACCATTCGCCAATCCAATCGCGCCACGACAAAAACAGTCAAAAATGCCATACTCTTCAGTCTTCATACAAAAATACCATACTCTTCATGCAAAAATACCTTAGTCTTACTCTTCAAGCTAGTGAAGAAAAAAAAAACAAAACGGAGCGCTGTGAGAGAGGGCTAACGGTCCGCCGAGGTGTTAGATAATTAATCTTCTAATTCAATAAGTATAGACTAACTTTTACAGATCCTAACATAACAATTAACAAGCTACCCTAGATCTGTAAAACACAATAACATTACAAACAGTAAGTCATATTGGGAGGATTTGGTTGTTTTGTGTTGCCGTGGTTGATCTTGTCCTTGGTTGCTGCTGGAGGCGAATAACTGGCTTCAGAAGGACCACATTGCAGGATAATAGCATTGGGAAATATTTGTGTCGAGGAAAATGTAGTACGCTTGTCCTTAGTTCCGATTACAAGACTAGCGCCTTGTAAAAACGAAGACCAACTATAAACTCGCCAACTTATCGGAAAGCAAACGGAAAACCGAACCGAACCACATACTTGTCGTTACCAATAGCGCTTCTAGTATATAGTTAGAAATAACTTGGAGAACTGACCAATAGCACTTCTAGTATAGTAAGAGATAACTTGGAGAACTGACCAATAGCGCTTCTAGTATAGTTAGAGATAACTTGGTGAACTGACCAATAGCGCTTCTAGTAAAGTTAGAGATGACTTGGAGAACTGACCAATAGCTGAATAGCTTTTCAAGTATAATAGTTAGAGATAACTTGGAGTACTGACCAATAGCGCTCCTAGTATAGTTAGAGATAACTTGGAGTACTGACCAATAGCGCTTCTAGTATAGTAAGAGATAGCTTGGAGAACTGACCAATAGCGCTTCCAGTATAGTTAGAGATGACTTGGAGAACTGACCAATAGCGCTTCTAGTATAGTAAGAGATAACTTGGAGAACTGACCAATAGCGCTTCTAGTATAGTTAGAGATAACTTGGAGTACTGACCAATAGCGCTTCTAGTATAGTAAGAGATAACTTGGAGAACTGACCAATAGCGCTTCTAGTATAGTAAGAGATAACTTGGAGAACTGACCAATAGCGCTTCTAGTATAGTAAGAGATAACTTGGAGAACTGACCAATAGCGCTTCTAGTATAGTTAGAGATAACTTGGTGAACTGACCAATAGCGCTTCTAGTAAAGTTAGAGATGACTTGGAGAACTGACCAATAGCTGAATAGCTTTTCAAGTATAATAGTTAGAGATAACTTGGAGTACTGACCAATAGCGCTCCTAGTATAGTTAGAGATAACTTGGAGTACTGACCAATAGCGCTTCCAGTATAGTTAAAGATGACTTGGAGAACTGACCAATAGCGCTAATAGTATAGTTAGAGATAACTTGGAGAACTGACCAATAGCGCTCCTAGTATAGTTAGAGATAACTTGGAGAACTGACCAATAGCGCTACTAGTATAGTTAGAGATAACTTGGAGAACTGACCAATAGCGCTTCTAGTATAGTTTGAGATAACTTGGAGAACTGACCAATAGCTTTTCAGGAAAAGTTGGACAGTACCTGGAGAAGTGTAACGGTCAGATAAACCTGATAGTAGCGATGGTGAGAGGTAAACTTCCGGCCATGTCACGGATAACGCTGGGTGCTCTAATAGTGATAGATGTTCACGCTAGGGATGTGGTGGAGACCTTCCACAAGAACAAAATCTCATCCGTTACTGACTTCCAGTGGATCAGTCAGCTTAGATATTACTTGGAGGTGAGTGCGCCAGTCAGTCAGTCATTTCCAAGTGACTAATTTTAATTTGCATTTTAAGATGCTCTCAAATGTGTTGAGAATAATAAGTTTTATGTTATAACATCATCGATTATCGCTCGACTCTTGTTATATTTGATGAACAACTAGAAACAAAAACAATGTAAATCACGGAAAGCTGAAATTCGAATATGTCCTACCGGTAGTAGGACATATTCATGATTTTCCAAAATATCTTTTTATATTCTGATGATTTTCCGTTTATGAAAGCTTTCTTTTGGAATAGAACGTAGTCTATGGACATTGGACACGTTCATTGAAGTTTGGGGATATTGGTAAATATTAGTGACCCTATTAAAGCCAGAGGGGGGGGGGGGGTAAGGGTTAAAAAATCGACCAAAACATTATTTTCTAAATCAATTTAAATTTTAATGACAAAACATTGCTGGTATTCATAATCACATATTTGTAGCTGCTTAACTTTTTTTTTAATAATTGAGGTTAACCGATTGTCACAAAATTGACTATACAACATTGAGGTTAATAAAATTGAGGTTAATATTTTATTGCACTCCCTACTTTTTAGTTATTTCGATTCAGCAAATGTAATCTCTATATTTTAGGTTCGTAATTGTCAGAAAAAGTAATATCTAAACGTGATTAAATGAGGTTAACCTCTTTTTTTAGATAGAGCGAGAATAGATCAAATGATAGAGTTATTATTTTCATCGTAAGTTTATGGTATGTACATATTTTCTAAATAAATGACGTGTTGATTGACTTTATTTTATCTTGGGAAAGTGAAAAAAATTAGGTTAACCATCACATTTTGGTACCGTAAGAATATACATACGATTCTTACTTTTGTAATGTACCACAATATCGCAGTGAGGTATCTATTGGTATCACAATGCCTACAAAGTACAATTATGATCACGTGACAAAGGTGATTTGAACTGACCATATTTAAGTAGAAGTTTTACCCGTACTTGGCTAAAAAATTAGGTTAACCTCTCATTTTTTGAATATCTGACCAGTCTTAACTTAATCATTACACTGTTCAAATGTTTCACTACATTCAAGCAGTTAGTGTTTACAGGAAGTCTTGGTTAACCTCATTTTTTACAATACGAGGACATCAATTACTGAAAGTGGCTAAAATCATTTAGGGAATGGCCACCGGCCAGGTCTAATCAAGCAAACGTTATTAACAGTAGTTATAGTCCGTAGCAGTTCATATCCATGATCTTCAGGGGTCGGATCTGAACGTCAGGATGATAACTACAACTATAGCATACGGTAATGAGTACCTGGGTAACTCTCCTCGTCTCGTCATCACACCACTCACTGACAGGTTAACTGTATAATTAATTATGTAATTAAGTGATTATAGAATTAGATTGCATTTATTGTTATTTAAACATTTGACAAACTATTAGTTCATTAAAATACTAAAATAAACAATGTTTTGTACGATTTGATTTTAGAATTAACAATTAACAGTAATGTGCAGTTTTTGTTACGTGTTTATAATCTAGCTCTCTTATCTCTATTTTATCGCTACATTATAACTGCCATTGTGCGGGTACTGTGTTTTTACTTTATACAAGTACAAGTACACGATGGATGATGATGAAATGGATATTCTTCAAAGATTGTCAAATTACTCTTCCTACATTACCGATAACCATCAGGTCTATAACTCTTGGGTTACTAAACTCTCGGAAGCTATGGGCTGTGTCCATGAAGATGAGTTTTCAGCTGAAACGTTCAAAAAGCCAGTGAAGGCAGTTTTAGTCAAACATTTGTATAATGCGTATCGGACTACCAGTGATCATGTAGAAACGTTTCTGGATATCAAGAAAGATATGGAGGAGTTGAAGAGCGAGCTTATCCTATCGCAAAGTACTGTTATCAAGCTGCAGGCTGAACTTCTGGAAAGCAAATCGAAGCAATTGGAATCCGTGCACTCCACCGTCAAGACCACCGTCCAGGACACTGTTCAAGCTGGGATAATCACATTCAGTCAAGCTGTTTCGAAAGCCGCACCTGTACTCACAGAAGAGAGCTTGAAAAAGGTTGTACAGAATGTTATATCAGAAGAGGATCGAACTAAGAATGTGTTAATATTTGGTTTCGAGGAGACTAGTGAAGAGAATCTGAATCATGAAGTTGGCGAGATGTTTCAGCAGATTGAAGAAAAGCCACACTTCGAAGCTGTCCGGGTTGGGAAGAAGTCAGCTGAAAAGATTAGACCAGTTAAAGTTTCTTTTGAAAACTCAAGTACAGTCCATCAGATATTAGTGAAAGCCAAAGAACTGAGACTGATTTCACGTCATAAAACTGTTTTAATTTCTCCGGACCGATCACCTGAGGAACGAACTATCCATCAGCAGTTGGTCTTAGAGATGAAACAGATTGCCAAAGAAGACACAGATAAACATTATTATATCAGAAGTGGTAAAATTTGTTGTAAGGACAAGATAGTGGAGTGAACGATTTATAATAATGTTTAATGATATACATCCTTAAGTTGTTTTTTTACCGTTGCTATGCTAACTTTTAATGTCAATAAGTAATTTAGTTTTGGATTTTTATATCATACTCATTAACTGAATATCTTAGTTTGGGGTATATTCATAGGCCAGCCGCTTTGACATCGGCAATCTTTATTTTTATTTGGATTGTTGATATAAGCGGGATAAAAATGCTTTATTTCATTTCATTTCATTTCATATCTTAATCTGTAACTTGTTGTAGATTTTACTTGTTGTAACTTGTTGTTACTTGTTGTTAATTTTCGCTACTTTTCGTTACTTGTTGTTACTTTTCGTTACTTGTTGTTACTTGTTGTTACTTGTTGTAACTTGTTGTTACTTGTTGTAACTTGTTGTTATTTGTTTTAACCTGTTGTAACTTGTTGTTACTTGTTTTTACCTGTTGTAACTTGTTGTTACTTGTTGTTATTTGTTTTAACCTGTTGTAACTTGTTGTTACTTGTTGTTACTTTTTGTTACTTCTTGTTACTTGTTTTAACCTGTTGTAACTTGTTGTTACTTGTTTTAACCTGTTGTAACTTGTTGTTACTTGTTGTTACTTGTTGTTACTTGTTTTAACCTGTTGTAACTTGTTGTAGGTGTTACCGCACGTTGATGGGTGCTATAAAGTTGACACTGGGAGGTGCGCCTGAGGGTCCAGCTGGGACCGGTAAAACTGAAACCAGTAAAGGTAACCATACAACAAATATACTCAACTTTTATTCTTTTTGTTCATTGCTTATACTATTATTAGTTTTTGTTTTGAACATCCTGTCCCAGACTTAAATGTATTCTTTAAGCCCTACTTGAGAATAATAGCTTTTGCTAACTTTACCCTCTGTCAGATTTAGCCAAAGCAGTTGCGAAACAATGTGTTGTGTTCAACTGCTCGGATGGTTTAGACTACAAAGCGATGGGAAAGTTCTTCAAAGGTCTTGCTCAGGCAGGAGCTTGGGCTTGTTTTGACGAGTTTAATAGAATTGAGTTGGAAGTGTTGTCTGTTGTAGCTCAACAGGTATAGTAGTTCTACCTTCCTCATTGTAGCAATAAATTGTCTGATTGCCGCGCACTAGAGTTTTTTTTAAGAGTTCAACACTTGATACAAATGTATTATCTAGATATTTATTTAAAGCTACTCTAGATTGAACGTATAAAATGTTTAAGTTTCCTAAATTTTCGTTACAATCCTATCAGATTCAATGTATACAGCTGGCGATAGCAGCCAAACTAAAAGTGTTCGTGTTTGAAGGAACGAACCTGACTCTGGATCCTACATGCACGATGTTCATCACCATGAACCCCGGTTATGCGGGTCGCTCCGAACTTCCTGACAACTTAAAGGTAACCTTTTTATGGGATTGAATTTGCTGTTCTAGTGTTCTGCCGCTTCCAGTTTATCTTGCACAGAGAAAGGACAAGTCGCAATCTTATCTAGCAAGATATGCGTTAGTTTTTGGCTTACATTAATTGTAACTACACCAGAGGTAACATATAATAAGTACTGCGGCAGGTACGAAATCGCACTTGAAAAGCTAAATTTATTCAATCAAAATTCGTACAGAGGTCATGACGATAGACGTAAAGGTATGAAGGGTGGTTCAGGGAAAGGCCTGTAAGAGTTTGGAGGGTGACAAAGTTTTGGAAGGGTCTGTGCCTTTATGCACGTTTGCACGTTCGCCGCACGGTTCGCGAATAGTCGGCGAACTTTTCGCCAAATTTGCTGCAATTTTAGGCAAGTGCGGGGTCGCACTTTTTCTCAAAACTTTGCCGCACTTATATGTTGCCTCTGCACTACACCGCCAGATACAATCTCATACTCATAGTACACAACACACTAACTGAGCTTTGTTCAGGTATTGTTCAGAACAGTAGCTATGATGGTGCCTGACTACGGGCTGATCGGAGAGATTGTGCTGTACAGTGTAGGGTTTGTTCAGGCTAGGGCATTATCCACTAAGATAGTTGCTACCTACAAGCTGTGTTCAGAGCAACTCTCCTCACAGAAACATTACGATTATGGAATGAGAGCGGTGAAATCTGTCCTAACTGCAGCAGGTAAGTCCTACAAAAAGCAGCGCTGAGGAATTTCGATGTGGTCAAGAAGATTACATTTGAACTTCTCAAAAGTCAAATATTTGTATATAACCCGAATTGCTGACAATTTGTTCCCCTTAAGGTAATCTCAAGCTACAGTATCCCGACGAAGATGAGGCTGTTCTTCTCCTCAGAGCTATCCGGGATGTTAATCTTCCGAAGTTCCTTGCTCAAGATCTTCCTCTGTTCCAAGGTTAACTTTCTTGTTTGATTGTTACCATCTGATATCAGTGATGGTACCAGAGAACATAAAGACATTCCTTCCATAGCGTCGGAAGACATCATATTATCTCCATGTTCATAGTTCATTCATTGTAATTAACCCTCAAAAACACTTTAATTCCAGGAATTATCAGCGATTTGTTCCCGGGAGTTATCCTACCCGAACCAGACTATGAGGTCCTCAACTCTGCTCTATTCTCCATAATGGATAAGATGAACTTGAAGAACACTGTGTTCTTCCATTCAAAAATAATCCAGGTCATTACTTATACTCATCAACATTCTTAACACTAACCTAGCAAATGAAAGGTGGGGTTTTATTTAACGACATAATATTCAATCCACAACTTCCAAATTTGACTCCTGACTCCTCCCCCTTCTCCGTGAGTAGATATACGAGATGATGTTAGTCCGGCACGGCTTCATGGTAGTCGGAGCAACACTGGGAGGTAAAACGTCCGCTCTGAAAGTGCTAGCTGGCGCTCTGGAGAAGCTGCACAGCCAGGATCAGATGGAGGAGAACAAGGTCGGGATTCATATCATAAATCCTAAGAGTATCTCTATGTTCCAGTTGTATGGTAACTTTGACCCGGTGTCGCATGAGTGGACTGATGGTGTCCTGCCCATTCTTTACAGAGAGCAGGTACGTTTTAATTGTTTTAAAGTTGAAATGTGTGACAGATTTATTTGTTTAGGAATTTAGAGAATAGTCCTTCCGTCGGACGTTGCAACATAATACCTCTCTTCATTTAAAACTTAATGTTGAACATGTTCTCTTGATCTTGGCCATCGGCCAAGTCTTGCATATTTTTAGTTCATCCATCAGATGTAATAATACTGATTATAATACTGATTATCTTCAAAGCAGATGGATTGAATTTAAGGATGAGTATAATTGAATATTATTTTTAAGGCATCCTCCACTTTGCCGGATAGACAGTGGCTAATATTTGATGGGCCAATTGACGCCGTCTGGATTGAGAATATGAACACTGTCCTGGACGACAACAAGAAACTTTGTTTAATGAGTGGTGAGATAATTCAGGTAACTTAGATTATCTATGATATAATTATAATTATAATTATAATTATAATTATAATTATAATTATAATTATAATTATAATTATAATTACAATTATAATTAATTATTTGATTAACTCTGATATAACGTCTCGTCAAGAATAATTATGTATTTCTATGCGTCCTACTGACCCCTGATCGATATCGTATTTCCAGACTATAAATTTTCCAATACAAAAATTCAATCATAAACCCCAGTAACCCTACAGATGAGTAACCAACAAAGCATGATATTTGAGACAGCTGATCTCGAGCAGGCCTCCCCCGCAACAGTCAGCAGATGTGGTATGATCTACATGGAGCCCGCAGAGCTGGGCTGGGATCCAATATTCTCTAGTTACCTAACTACTCTGGAGGGAACATTCAGTCCTGAACAGGTCTTAATACCATTTAACTCCTGCACTTTTATTGATTTATATTAAATGAGCATCTTCAAGTGATTGAGTTATAAAATAAATGCACATCTTTGCCGCGTAGTGCGGCATATTATATGGGTACGAAATAAGAAACACACTGGCATGGTACTAACTTAGTAGATTTTCAGTTGGGAACGATAAAGACGGTGTTTGAGTGGTTGCTACCACCCTGTTTGAAGATGGCTACCAGGCAGCTCACCATGTTCGTACCTCTCAGCATGATGCATCTAGCCAGGCAGTCCATGACCCTTTATAAGGTGAGATTTCTCTCATTTTCACTGATATATTAGATTATTGATTTAAGGTTCTCAGAAACCTTGTTAAGGGGGCAGGGGGGGGTCTTTATGAAATTTCTCTCAAAATTGATTTTATAGTTGTTTCTAATAGAGGGGAGTGATATCTATCTGCTACTTTTGGTCCCATGGAAAAATTTTGTTCCTAGCCGAAATTATTGCCGGTCAAAGGTCAGCGCTCATGTGTAATTGTATTGCGCGAGCGATTTTCAATCGCGCGCCCTGAAAATTGAGTCTAAAAATCTATCTCCTCCTACATTTTTTGAGCAATCACCTTGAAACTTTCAGGATATGTTCTAAGGACCATTTAGAAACTTTTACTCTTTTTAGAATTTCGAGATAGGCCTTTAAAAAATTTTTATTCGATTTTGAAAATCTTGGACCTGAAAAAATCGTCAAAAAACGAGGTCCAAGATTTTCAAAATCGAATAAAAAAGTTTTAAAGGCCTATCTCGAAATTCTAAAAAGAGTAAAAGTTTCTAAATGGTCCTTAGAACATATCCTGAAAGTTTCAAGGTGATTGCTCAAAAAATGTAGGAAGAGATAGATTTTTAGACTCGATTTTCAGGGCGCGCGATTGAAAATCGCTCGCGCAATACAATTACACATGAGCGCTGACCTTTGACCGGCAATAATTTCGGCTAGGAACAAAATTTTTCCATGGGACCAAAAATATCTGGTAGATATCACTCCCCTCTATCAGAAACAACTATAAAATCAATTTCGAGAGAAATTTCATAAAGACCCCCCCCCCCTGCCCCCTTAATTCTATAATAATCATTTTGCTGCCATATCATGTGTCCGGCGCCATCGATCCTTAGTCACCTGAAGGCTGAATTTTTAAGATTTTGCTGTAAAAATTATGTACGTTCATAAAATTAGAAGGACAATATTTAACTTATCAAATATTTATTACCTTAAAGAACTACAGTATAGAGTAAAACAAGTTTTGTAGTCAGTACAGATAGACCGCAGAGAATATTAAGATTAAAAACTTTACAGCTGTAGAAATAAAACTTATGACCGTCATTCAATGGTTAATTTTGCTTTCGATTTTAGGGCTCCTCTCAACGAGTAAATTAGATCATTTCGATTTTCAGGGCTCTGCTAAATCTGTAATCTCGTTAGAAAATAAGGTTTAATGAGAGCTGATGACTTATAGTTATCGTCACGTTTCCAATTTGGGTTCCTCGGAAAGGTTTTCATTTCACGATGCTACGTTTCCCTTTGGTACTTGTTATTTTGCAATGCTGGTTAGTCCATGGTGGTACCTTCAATTCCATCTCACCTCCAGCTAACGCCAGTGGATCAGTCATAGAAAGTAAAGATGACATCACCCCACACTGGTACGCTCTGCGTGAAGAAGCGGCGAAGATACGAGAAGAAGCACAGAAGATGAGGACTGATGCCTACGATACGATGAGGAAAGCATTTCAGATGAAAGAAGAAGCCATGGAGTTCAGGGAGGCAGCTTATCAGGCGAGAATGGAAATGGAGACAAGTATGGTTGAGGCACTTTCCCTATTGAAAACCCAGGCTTCAGCCACTACTCTGTACGTTCAAGATATGCGAACCACCTTAAGCAATGTTAAAGGACGGCTTGATGTCATAGAGGACCGGATGGAAGACTTAGAACGAAATCTGGAGGATGGGTTTGAAGACGCAGGAGAAAGATTTGCAGCTCTGGAGGGGATATTGGAAGATATTGTGAAGAAGATGAACGCTGTCGGAGACAAAGTCGAATCAAACAACAACCTGATTTCTAGTGTTCAGACAAAAGTGGAAGCTAGTGGGGTTATGACAGCCAGTATAAAGTCTCGCCAGGAAGTAACGTTGGAAGAAGTAAGGATTATCTCTCTCTAAGATGTCTGATCAGACTACCACCCATGGTGGTGGACATCATAGCGGTTTCGCTGTGGACGGACAGTTTGTCTTCAGTCACTGGGAACCTGGCACTCCAGTTCGAACTGTGACTCACACCTTATCTCTTGCTGACCAGAAACTTTGGATAGATCTAGGAGGGCTGTTCAGAATTCACCGCGTCCAGATCTGGAATTCAAGGCACTGCTGTTTGGAACGCTTCATTGGTACACATACCTACGCCGACGAAAGACTCTTAGGTGTGGCAATAAGTGGCAAATTCATGTACGACTATAAGGTAGATGCTGGTGACCCAATCTACGCTAGGTCTATTACCCTGCATCAAGTGCGTGTAGAGTATCTACATGTAAGTGAAGTTCAAGTTTGGGGGTCCGGCCCTTTCGCTGAAGACGACAAATTCGCGTAATGTTAAATCACTGCAACAAGTACAACCGTTGAACATTGAACAATCAAAATACACATTTTCGGACTCATATTTCACGTAGTTTTAAGTCTAACTTGGCTTGATTTTATTGTATTTTTGATTTTGCTTGTGATTTTTCAAATAACCCAAATAAAGATTTGTTGTCAACAGTCATATATAAAATTGATTTTGATCTACTTTTTGCTATAACAACTATAACAACTATACTAGCCTTTCGATGGATTTAAATAAGTATACAGTACGAATTATCGGTACACTCCGGCGACCAGCAATTCAGGACATTCGAGATCCAGTTCGGATGTTATGGCACAAGCATCAATATGTATATTCATGGTTAATTCGAAACCCTCAAAAATTGGATTCAAGTTATTTAAACTGTTATCGGTGTATAAATTAAGTGAATAAATAATTAAAAGAGACCAGAATTCCGAGTTACGATGATGAACTCGACCACAGCCCGTGTTATGATACATAATAATGGTAAACATTAATATTCAGTTGACGGTAGTTGCCCGCATTTATTTTTTGATCCACGAGTGCCTTGTGAAAATCATTAAATTACTAATAACTATTATTTACATCGCAGCTGGTAACAGCTAACTTGATAGTGGAGAAAGAAAAGAATTTCAAAGATTGGTCAGCCACAGCTCTGATCTTCTCTGTTTTGTGGAGTGTAGGCGGTTGTCTGCCATTAGATTCTAGAATAAGGTTTCAGGCTTCAGCTTATATAATTATTATATAATTTTCCTGGTTTATACTACTATACCTAGTTATACTACTATACCTAGTTTATACTACTATACCTATACATTTTCCTGTGTTATATTATATTTACCAGTATTACATATGTGTTTCTTGGTTGTGATTTCATTATGTAACTGTTTAACTAGTATATCTGTGAAGGGCCCAGTGTCTTGTATTGTCCAATATAAATAATAACATAAACTTATCACATTCCCCACCAAATACTTAATTTTAAATACTTAATTTTGAAGTATGCTTCCATAACTTATAACTTAATAACATAAATGTATGATCACGTAATATAATAGTAATCCATGTTCAGATTCAGTGAAATGCTGAGGAAATTCTGTTTAGAAAAAGAAACTCGCCCTAAGACTATCGTCATAGATAAAAACAACATGTATCCTGAAAAAGGTAAATATTTTTAGATATCACTATTCTGAGATAACCTTACTTAAACTTACTTAATATTTAAACTAATTATATGTTAATACGTCCTAAAATCCAAACATTTCAGGGACAGGCTACGATTACCAGTTTATAGTTGAAAACAAAACAGTTTGGAGGCCATGGCATGACGGTTCCAAGTTTGTCATACCCGAGGATTGCACAACAATATCTAGCGTCATAATTCCCACTAAGGAGACCCAAGTTATCCGATATTTCCTGGACCTATTCGTTACACATGCTCACCCTCTATTGATTGTAGGTCCTACAGGCACTGGAAAATCTGCTGTCTCAGTAAACCATTTGTTGGGCCTGGACGAGAAGAAATACGCTTCAAACATCATAAACTTCTCTGCTCAGACCACTTCGCAGCTCACCCAAGAGATGATCTGTTCCAAGTTGGATAAGCGGAGGAAGGGTTACATTGGACCTGCAGTTGGCAAGCAGATGATTGTTTTTGTGGACGACCTGAACATGCCCATGAAGCAGACTTACGGTGCCCAACCCCCGATAGAGCTATTAAGACAGCAGCAGGATCAAGGACACTGGTACAATCCTCAGGGCAGTTCCAAACTGTATTTAGAGGATATAATCCTGCTGTGTGCGATGGGTCCACCTGGTGGCAGTAGGAACGATATCACTTCCCGGTGTACTCGGCATTTCAACGTTGTCAGTGTTGACAGTTTCGGGGAGGCAATATTCTCCATCATCTTCGGGACGATTGTTGACTGGCACTTTGCCAAAGGTTTTACTTCCAACTGTGTGGTTACAGGTCAGATGACAGTTCCAGCCACAGCTCAACTCTTTCACGGTATCCTGCCCAAGTTCCTACCCATCCCCTCTAAGTCTCACTACCTGTTCAACTTGCGGGATTTTGCTCGAGTTATCGGCGGGATCCTCCTACTACCCGCTACTCAGTGCTCCGGTCCTGAAGTACTAATCAGACTGTGGCTACACGAGGTTTACAGGGTCTTCTACGACAGGCTCACTGACGGCGAGGACAGGAAAACCTTCTTCGGCATGTGTAGGGACGTTATCAGCTCGGTGTTTAAGAACGATATTAACACTCTTCTGGCACATTGCTGTGAACCTGGCTGTAGTACTCTGCAGGACGATGATGTAAGGAAGTTACTGTTTGGTAACTACAGTAACCCTTCTGGTAATAGAGTTTACTCTGAGATCCAAGACTTGGATACGCTCCAGGGAACTATAGAAGGATACCTTGATGAGTACAACCAGATGAGCAAGACGCCCATGACGTTTGTTCCCTTCCGCTACGCGATCGAGCACGTGTCTAAAGTGTCGCGCGTGTTGTTGCAACCTAACGGTCACGTGCTGCTGGCAGGAATTGGAGGGAGTGGCCGGTCCAGTGTTGCTAAACTTGCTACACATGTTGGGGACTACCAACTTTTCCAGATAGAGATCAGTAAGAATTATACAGCTGCAGATTGGAGGGGAGATCTGAGATCTCTGTTATTTAAAGCCGGGGCAGCAGGAGAACCAACTACTTTCCTTTTCATTGACAACCAGGTTTGAACCTGCTACTACAATTATTTTAGTCGGAAAATTTCATATCCTCGAGGTATGCTCTCGCAAATCGGACAGGTTTTTATGGCTCTAAGTCAAAATCTTTTGGAGTTTACCGCATTCTGTAACATGACTAGAAGATATCGTTAACTGATACCGTTGCAGATAAAGTTTGACAGTATGCTGGAAGATATAAACATGCTATTAAACGGGGCTGACATACCTAATTTATATCCAGCTGATGAAAAAGCCCTTGTCATTGAGAAGATTCAGTCCTGGGTGGCTAAAAATAATATGCAGGTGATTAATGTTTACATATTCTTGTTGCTTTTCCATTTTATATCATTCAACTACATAAAATATCATCATTCTACTATACGTTAATATACATTTCTGTCACGTGTCACCTTTAATTTTAATTAAGGTGGATGATGCCATTTCTTGACCGAATGTTTAGATAATTCATATGAGTAAAAGCCTGAAAACTACGGCACTGAAGAAATTTTAAGTTGATCTAATTATCGAACAGGTGGATTCGACCCCTGCCAAGATGTACGATTTGTTCCAACAACGTATCAGAGACAACCTTCACCTGGCTCTAGTGTTCAGCAGTATTGGAGACGACTTCAGAACTAGACTCAGGAAGTTTCCTTCTCTTATCAACTGCTGCACCATTGATTGGTAATTTAGACAATATCTTTTATGAAATTTAATGGAAATTATTGTTTAGATAAAAGAAATGAATTGTGATTCATTAGTAATTTAATGTTAGAGTGATCTAGAGTCAGATCCTCACGATCAACATTCAGGTTCCAGCCGTGGCCAAGTGATGCTCTTCAGATGGTAGCAGACAGGTTCCTAGGAGATCTCGAACTTACTGATGGAGAGAGATCGCAGCTTCGGACCATGTGCCAGTACTTTCAGGTACAAGTTATAAGAATGAGATCACGAGATCAAGTTATATCGACTTCGTGCATTCTTCATTCATATTCACAACATGACTCGATAGTCTTACCTAAGTCCTAACCCTCTACCCCCCTAATCAGTTACATCTCCTGTTCCTTGGACCTTACCTCCTATTGGCCCCGACCCCTTCTTCAGTATTTATCTCAGTCCTTACCCTAACCCCCTGATAACGCCCCCCCCCTGATAACCCCCTATTCCCTTACATCTCTCACCAATCACCCCTCCTCCAGTATTTATCTCAGTCCTTACCCTAATCCCCTGATAACGCCCCCCCCCCCCCTGATAACCCCCTATTCCCTTACATCTCTCACCAATCGCCCCTCATTTCAGACCAGTGTATTTGAGTACTCAGAGAGGTTCTACGAAGAGCTTCACCGAAACAACTATGTTACACCCACCTCATATCTCGAACTTATCCTCACATTCAAAGGTTCATACTCAACTCATATCATATCACTGCCTTCAAAATCGAGAAAAGGATTAATTGTAATCTCTGACATTACTGATAATATAACCATCACTTCAATATAATATGATAATTATCTCAATTTCTGGACATGTTCTAGTTTCCTCTTGGCCCCCACAGTAATCGCTATAAACATGACTTTGCCCTAACACTCTACAACTGATTGAGTCTAAGATTGTATGTTCAGGTCTACTGGATGTGAAGAGAACTGAGATATCGACACTACAACAGAGATATGCTACTGGCCTTGAAAAACTAGACTTCGCTGCTTCTCAGGTAATCTGAATTATAAGCTAGTGAACTTAGTAGTTGATCTAAGTAAATTTTTTTCCCTACTCTTGCCGAAGGCAAAAAGATCGTAGGGAATAAGTAATCGGGTTTGTATATATGAGGTGGCCCGATGGACCTGCGATGATGACAAAAGTCTGCTCCTTCGAAATATAGACCACTCCCCTATAATTAAGTGTATAGGAAGCGTCTGTTATGCTGCGCGCGACGCTAGCCATGTGTTAATTAATTACAGTGAAATTCCTCCTTCGCAAAGTTATTTTCCGCAATTTCTAGATTCATTTATTGTTGATGCGCGGCGCTGCATTGGTCAAATAAATCGTCAATTTTTACCATGCACGAATCCCACTCATTTATAAAAAACATAGTATGTAAATATGGTGCACTTTTTTCCAGTCACACTTTTCACTCAAAAGAATTAATGGTACAAGTACATGGTAGGGAAAATTGATCGTGCGTGGTTTAACCGCGGCGAAATTCTTGTTGTTTTGTAACTTTTGTTTTGTGTCCCTCTGCATCACCTATTTTCTATCCCCCTATTGATGATAACGATTGATTGATTATCATAATTCATATATATTATTATTAACTAATTTTGTTCCAGGTGTCAATAATGAAGCAAGAGATTATAAATCTACAACCTGAGTTAATAAAGAGTAGCAAGGAGACAGAGGAACTGCAGGTTTTAGTCGAGGCAGACGCGGAGAAGGCCAACGCTAAAAGGGTAAATTAAGATAAATTTTGTTTTTAATGACTTTTCGATTCTGTTCCAATATATATATCCGTAATGCATGGCCTTTTTTTCCTAATATTGACCGTCTCTAATAAACATCAACAAATTCAGGAGCTTGTAGCTAAAGATGAAGCGGTTGCAAATGAAGCTGCAGCGGTGGCTGGAGCCATCAAAGCGGACTGTGAAGCGGATTTAGCTGAAGCGCTTCCTGCTTTGGCAGCCGCTATCGGTGCGCTAGATACACTAAAACCTTCTGATATATCTCAGGTTTGGGTCTTTAAACCCTTTCAAGGCCTTGCTAGAACAGCAAAACAAAAAATTGTGTGATATGAGTAAACTGGTCCTCTATAATTGTGGGCGACTACAGTCTGTGCACTAGTACTACAATCATTTTAAAAAGTATAATGATGAAACTTACATGCAATACAGATAATTTTTTCAGGTAAAAGCCCTGAAAAACCCTCCTGCTATCATCAAACTAGTGATGGAGGCAGTATGCATCATGAAATCGATAAAACCAGAGAGGAAACCTGACCCATCTGGATCTGGAAAGATGATAGAGGACTTTTGGGGACCTTCACAGAAACTGCTCGGAGATTTGAGCTTTCTGAACACTCTCAAATTGTACGATAAGGATAACATAGACGCTGGTGTCATCAAGAAGATTCGAGACAAATATATGAACAACCCCGATTTCGTTCCTGACAAGGTAAGATTTTCCCTGCGACTAATTTCTAGTTTTATCTGTCTGGCTGTTAAAACATCTGCTTTTTAAAGTTGAAATTGCTCATTACTTACTCTGATTTACCGTTCTAGTATCTGTAACAACTGTAAATCCTGTAATCACAGGTAAAAGCAGCTTCCAAAGCATGTGAAGGTCTATGTACCTGGGTCCTGGCTATGGAGGTATACGAACGTGTCATCAAGTTGGTAAAGCCTAAACAAGCTAAATTAGCTGAAGCAGAAGCTGAGCTTGCGGTGCAGATGGAGAAGTTGACAGAGAAACAGGCAGAGTTGAAAGAGGTTGAGGATGCTCTGAAAATACTTAACGACCAGGTAAACTTCCATTTCCTCTTCTCTTGACTGACAGCAGGTTGCTGATTGGAACTTATCATAACGTCAACTAGATACTTTCAATTGAACTTAACCAGTCATTAAATTTAACTGAAACAAAATCTGTCTTCAGCTGAGTGAGGTTGTGGCAAAGAAGAAAAAGTTGGAAGATAATTTGCAACTATGCGAGAAGAAGCTGGAACGTGCCGAACAGCTTATTGGAGGACTTGGGGGAGAGAAGTCAAGATGGACTGATATCTCGTAAGCAACGATAAATAACCATTTAAATTTGCAATGTTATTTAAATAATTAGATTTAAAAGCAGATATTAATTGAATATTTCTCTTCAAAAGAATAGTTTAAAACTGATGACTGATGTCTGATACCCCATCTCTCTGCCAGTGAAGATTTAAAGGAGTTGTACAAGCAGACAACGGGAAACGTGCTTGTAGCATCTGGGATTGTGGCCTACTTCGGGCCCTTCACCGTGCAATACAGAGACAAACTGCTCAAGGACTGGTGTGATAGGTGTCTTGAGGAAGATATCAGAGTTTCTGATACTGTCAATCTCAATTCTGTGTTAGGTGGGTAGAGCAAGGATCTATCATGCTAAAACTTTGGGGGTTTTATTAAGTTTAACACAGTATCTTGGATCTAACTCATATGAACTGTTCAGGAAATCCGATAGATATTAGGAGTTGGATGTTGGCTGGGCTTCCCACTGATGAGTTTTCTATCGACAACGCTATTATCCTTGCTAAATCAAGACGGTGGCCTCTGATGATTGATCCTCAGGGACAGGCAAATAAGTGGATCAAAAACATGGAGAAATCTAACAAACTAGGTATACAAATAAATAAAAGTCTTGTGTTTGTATCACTTTCCCACCTATATCTCATTGCACACTATTTAAATTATCTCGAGGAGAACAAATTTATCATCGTCCTAATTATTCATCTAATAACCAATTTCAACAGTTGTGATGAAAATGAACAACGCTAACTTTATCCGTACATTGGAGAACTCCGTGCAGTTCGGTACACCTCTACTGCTGGAGAATGTGGGAGAGGATCTGGATCCCGTTCTCGAGCCTCTGTTACTGAAACAAATTTACAAGCAGGGTGGTGTCGAGTACTTGAGAATCGGTATGTCTGGAATTTTAAAAACTTGCCTAAAACAGTGAGAACTTGAGAAGACATCTGCGCCAATTTGAAACAGAAATCGTTTAAAATTGCTGTTTATGTGCAGGTTCTAATATCTAATTATAGGTGATGCGACGGTTGAGTATAGTCGTGAGTTCAGGTTCTTCATCACGACTAGACTCAGAAACCCTCACTATCTACCAGAAGTTTCTGTTAAAGTTACCCTCCTCAACTTCATGATTACCCCTCAGGTTTGTTATCTCTTTTAATATGAGTTTCTTTTATTTGGTATTCATAGCATCCTTGAGACTTATCTATATTATAATCAGTGCAAAGATCTGATTAGAATCCGGAGAAACTGTTTATTCAGTTAACTATTTCAAGCTATTCTGATCAGGGGTTGGAAGACCAGATGCTCGGTATTGTGGTAGCTAAAGAACGACCTGAGCTGGAGGAAAAGAAGCAGACACTGATCGTGGAAAGTGCTAAGAATAAGAAACAGCTGAAGGAAATAGAAGACAAGATATTAGAAGTGCTGAGTAGCAGCGAGGGGAACATTCTGGAAGATGAAACCGCCGTCCAGGTACAATCTACATTCTATTTGTATCTTCTCCGATCACGTTATTTATACAATGATTTTTGTGAGTATCAGTCTTGTGGTTGGTCGAGTGGCCTCTTGTTTTTTTGGGTAACTTTGGTATCAAGATGAATTTCCTCAGGTTTTGTCCTCATCAAAGATACTCTCTGAAGAGATAACAGAAAAACAAGTGATATCAAGTGCTACAGAACAGGAAATAGACACAGCTAGAAGCGGCTACAAACCTGTTGCAGAGTACTCCTCTATCCTCTTCTTCTGCTTATCCGATCTGGCTAACATTGAACCCATGTACCAATACTCCCTTACATGGTTCATTAACCTCTTCATTATGTCCATCGAACAGAGTGAAAAGTCTGATAACTTGGTTACTAGGCTTGGATGTCTTAACGATCATTTCCTGAAAAATGTCTACAGAAATGTGTGTCGGTCTCTTTTCGAGAAAGATAAGCTGCTGTTTTCTGTTATGTTGACTATAAGTATCTACAAGTTCAAGGGAGAGATTGATGATGCTGTTTGGAGGTTGGTATATTGAAAACTTGGAAAGAGATCGTTTAATGAAACTACATGATAATATTATTATGTTGATTAAAAGTTTTATAGAAGCTGACTTGGAACTTCTCGACTGAACTAAAATCAAATCTCCCAGGTTCCTGTTGACGGGAGGGGTAGGAATGGGGAACCCTCACGCTAACCCATACCCGGAATGGCTTACTGATAAAGCTTGGCAGGAACTTGTTTACGCTAGTGAGCTCACTAACCTCCAAAACTTAGCATTCCCCCTGCACTCTGGGTTTAAGAACTTGTACGATAGTCCTGAACCTCATTTGCATGAGTTCCCTGATAAGTGGAAGTATTTGAGCGGTCTGGACAGGCTGGTAGTTCTGAGGTGTATAAGACCAGACAAGGTCGTGTCTGCCATGCAGAACTTTGTGATAGAAAAACTGGGACAATACTTTGTTGAGCCCCCAACATTTGATTTGTCGGCCTGTTTTGCCGACTCCGCTTGCTTTACTCCTCTTATTTTCGTGTTGTCACCTGGAGCCGACCCTATGGCTAATCTCCTCAAATTAGCTGGTGAGCACGGTTTCTCTGGAGACAAGGCTCCACAGGCCATCTCTCTGGGCCAGGGACAAGGTCCTATCGCTGAGAAAATGATAAACGATGCTCTGGTTGAAGGATCCTGGGTTATACTACAAAACTGCCATCTAGCAACCAGCTGGATGCCAACTCTAGAGAAGATCTGTGAAGAGCAAGTAGTCCCAGATCACCCTCACCCCATGTTCAGGATGTGGTTAACCAGCTATCCATCTGACACATTCCCTGTTGCTATCCTCCAGAACGGTATCAAGATGACAAACGAGCCCCCCAAAGGGGTGAGAGCTAACCTTCTCCGCTCTTATCTAAACGACCCTATAACTAACCAGGAGTTTTACGAGGGATGTAAAAAACCTACTAGTTGGTACAGACTCCTCTTCTCTCTCTGCTTCTTCCATGCTAATGTTCAGGAGCGGAGGAAGTTCGGTCCACTTGGGTGGAATATTCCTTATGAGTTCAATGACTCTGATCTTCATATTAGTATGAGACAGGTTGGGAATGTTTTGTTGTAATTATGACAATTGATAACTTACATTCCTCAAACATCATCATTAAATATTCATCCAAATATGTGGCAGTTACTTCCAGTTCTGAAAACTACCCTCTTCGTCGCACAATTTGAATAACAACATTTATTTGCCAGATAAGAATGTTCCTTGATGACTACGAAGAAACACCATTTGACGCGTTACGATATCTGATTGGTGAATGTAACTACGGAGGTAGAGTAACAGATGATCATGACAGAAGACTCCTGATTGCTATTATGAGTAGTTACATCAACAACAGTGCCACTGAAGAGGATATGTATTCTATAGCTGAAGGTGGAGAGTATTATGTTCCAGATTGTTCGGCTCAAGAGGATTTCCTCAACTACATCAGGTACAGAAAGCTATTTATTGTTCCCAGGTTTCATACTTGCTTCGGGGATGATGAAACCTGCGATACCAGATACATTATACATAGATTGTATACTTCGGCGTTTCTCATTACTAATTCTAATTCTGTGAAGTATTTTGTCTAGTAATTAGTCATCAAAGGTAACAATAATGGTTTTAGTGAATACAGTTAAACAATATTCAGATCTCTGCCGATGTTAGCGAAACCGAACGTGTTTGGTCTTCACGAGAACGCGGACATCACCAAGGACCAGCAGGAAACCCTGAATTTGTTCACCAACATCCTGCTTACTCTACCAACTCAGAGTAGCTCTGGTGCTGTCTCGGCGGAGGAGTCTGTTTGTAACCTGGCTAAAACTATTCTGGATCAGCTGCCACCACAGTTTGATCTGCTAGCTATCAATGAGAAATTCCCCATATTGTATGAAGATAGTATGAACACTTGTCTCAGACAAGAGGTTATAAGGTAAGCAAAAATCTTTGAATTCCATTTCTTTTGAGTGACACATAATGAACATCAAACATTCAGTTCGTTAATTATATTGTTTCCACACGAAGTTTGTACAGTTTCGAGAATATCATTGCAAAACCCCCACTACAGGTACAATAGGCTAACAGAGGTGGTGAAGGACTCGTTGCAGAATCTGATGAAAGCTGTTAAAGGTTTGGTGGTGATGAACGGAGATCTGGAAGAGGTCTTCTCCTGTCTAAATATCGGCAAAGTTCCCGCTAGCTGGCTAAATTCTTCTTACCCTTCACTCAAACCTCTCGGTGAGTATTTCAATTATATCACTGTTCATTTAGTCGATAGTGATTTATGATCATAATATGTAAAAATTTGCTCACCATTACAGCATTACAACAGACGATCGCTCACCACTATCCAAAAAACCTCAGGTAGCTACATTGCTGATCTTGTTCAAAGACTGGAGGGTTTCTACACGTGGATAAACTCGGGACTAGCTCCTGTTGTATTCTGGATCTCCGGATTCTACTTCACACAATCCTTCCTAACAGCTGCCAGTCAGAACTACGCGAGAAAGTACAAAATACCAATAGACCTGCTCGGTTTCCAGTTTGAAGTTATAGACCAGGTTGAGAGTGAAGTTGATAAGCCAGATGATGGGGTGTTAGTCAAGGGGCTGTTTCTGGAAGGTTGCAGGTGGAGTGCTAATGAGGGGGTCCTAGCTGAGTCCAAGTCTAAAGTACTATACTCAAAGTTACCCATACTATGGTTGAAGCCTGTGAAGAGAGCTGATATGGCGAAAGAGTCTACTTACACGTGCCCCGTTTACAAAACTAGTGCTAGACGAGGAACTTTATCCACAACAGGTTAGTTTTATAGTGGTCAGTTTTTGTGTCCGCCGCTGGTCGGATCGGGTACGGTCCTTTCATCGGGTACGGTCCGTTCATCAGGTACGGTCTGTTCATCGGGTACGGTCCGTTCATCGGGTACGGTTCGTTCATCGGGTACGGTCCGTTAATCATTTTCTGGGAATTTTCCTCTGCTTATACAAAACATGAAGGTGATTATCACATTATTTCGCGATGTTGAATTGAATCGTTATAAATATAAACTGTGGTTTTTTCAGGACACAGTACGAACTATGTGATGAGTGTTGAACTACCAACCACACACCTACCAATACATTGGATAACAAGAGGTGTCGCTCTGTTGTGTCAACTTGACGACTAAAATTCAACAGTTGAACAACTTGAAATCTAGAATTCAACAGTTGAACTGCTTCCTAACTCAACTCTACTGCATGAATTCATGAACTACAATACGATTTTTGCTCGAAAGTGCTTAATTTTTCACGTTTAACTAGGATTAAACAAAAGGTGTTTATGTCTTGCAGTTGCATGCTGTATTTCAAGAAATAACTGTAAATTACGCTGCTTAATTTTTGTGCAGATTCGGCTCGCTTCTTGATTCGGTTAGCATGTGCGGCTCAATACCGCAATATCAAATTTATATTATATAATACGCATGTGGAGCTGCGCAAGCGAACCAAACCAAAAGCTGAACCGAACCTACACTAAACCGTCAAAATTAAATATCAATCTGCTTAGGACATAAAAAATGTAATTTTGTATTAAATATTTACAATTGAATGTACTGCGGATAAAATTAAAATAAAGACTCGACTATATAAAAGTTATAAAATTAATGTAATTATATTTCCATATCATATTTATTGAATGTTGAATCTATTATAATTACGCAACTACGCATTTTCCTTGTCTAATTAATAATAGTAATCTGCTGTCTTTATACTCATCTTTAGGAGTAGTTTACTTATTATTAATGAAGATCTAAAACTTTGAACTTACACTTACTAATTTACTATAAGTACGTACATACCACACTCGCCGAGCTGCGCATCTTTTCTCGGGATTCGCCTTTTACTTGACCATTGTTAATGGTCTGGCCCGGCGCGCGCTACTTCGTAGCACTTAACATTGCATTTCGAGAAGAAAGCGGCGCGCGCTACTTCGAAGAAATTTAGACGAGTAACATTGAACATCCGTCAAGCCTTTTACTATCAGTATCGGCGCCTTCAATTCGCCTTGCGGTTGACGATGTCAATCCTTCGCAGTTTGACGTAGGTTTATAAATAAGTATAACCTATCAAGACGCACCGCGAGTTAAACTCGTTTAACGAGTGATACTCGTAAAATATTTGTTTCAACTCTGAACTCGGCGCGTGTCCTGGTATAGGATATAAACTTGTAATTGTAGCGCAATGCGTTGTAGCGCGATGCACTACTGGGTCGCGCCGCGCATCAAATAATTCTTCTCGTAACCTACTTCGGTAGATCGGCGAGTTGTAGCGCGATGCACTACTGGGTCGCGCGCGCGCATCCGATAATGCTTCTCGCAACCACCGATTATGCAGATCTTATGCAGATCTTATGCAGATCTTATGCAGATCGGCGAGATGCGAAGGATTGACATCGTGAATCAAATCGGCGAGATGCACCACTGTGCCTCAACGAGCTGCGAAGGATTGACATCGTGAATCAACGCAATGCGTTACTGTGCCGCGCACTCAATGAGGCTTCTCGCAGCTAGACCGGCGAGATGCGTTGACGGATGTTACTCGTCTAAATTTCTTCGAAGTAGCGCGCGCCGCTTTTTTCTCGAAATGGCCCGATGGCAAGTGCTACGAAGTAGCGCGCGCCGGGCCAGATCATTAACAATGGTCAACGAGATGCGCTACTGTGCCGCGCCGAGCTGCGATAAATTATTTGATGCGCGCGCGACCCAGTAGTGCATCGCGCTACAACCACAACCCATATTTGGGCATACGCACTAAATTTGATCGATTTTGGCCCATAAATTGGACAAAAAATGACTGCGTTATGAGCAAAAACTATTTACCCATATTTGGGCATACGCACTAAATTTGATCGATTTTGGCCCATAAATTGGTCAATTATCAATATTTTGAATGAAACCAACTTTGTATGAAAGGTTAGCCTAAACTGCACATTCTCTATGATGTATGATTATCAGCTCAATATCTACTTAACTGTGGATTCTGTGTTCAAATAATCGCAAAAAATAAACAAAATCGTCCATATTATATTTCAGTTCGCGATATTTGCAAAAATGACTTCGCTCAAAACAATACACAATAGAACTCAATAGGGTTTCAATATTTTTTCATGAAATTTTCAGAATCAACGTAGAATCGCCTCATGACTTTAAGTTTTGTATTGGAATTTTGAGTAAGGCCTTTTTAAAAATTTGGCGGGCAAATTCTGAAAAATGCCCGGCAAATTTCAGAATTTGGCCGCCAAATTTTTGTAAAGGCTTAACCCAGTGCACGCGAAGCGTGCACTGAGCGCTCCGGCCGGCCAGCCGCCGCGCAAGAAATCAAAGGCCGGTTAACGGCTGATGCACGTAAAATTCACATAACCATGTGTCTACGCGTACTGCGTGACGCTTGTTTCGGCTGTCGCTTGATTGACGATGTCAATCCTTCGCATCTCGCCGATCTGGTTGCGAGAAGCATTATTGCATATTGGATGCGCGCGCGACCCAGTAGTGCATCGCGCTACAAGGCTGTCGCACGCTACTGCAAGCGAGAGGGCTCTGGTTAGAGCAACACGTAAAATATTTGTTCCAACTCGGCGCGCGTCTTGGTACTTTATAATCCTATATACAAGAAAATTGGTTGCAACGTGTCAAGAGACGTTCACGTAGGTAAGACGATTTCGTTATTTTGTATTTATATTATAGCTATACCAAAGTCACGGGCGATCGATTTATGGCAAGGGGTCGTTCACATATTACGTAATCAGCCGAGGGGGGGGGGGGTTCCAAATGGTTACGGTTGATTACGGGGAAGGGGGTGGGGTTTGGTCGTTGATTACGAATTGTAGTTGTACGCAATCAACATTTTCTTTTTTACTCTCTAGAGTAATAATTGACGGATGTTACTCGTCTAAATTTCTTCGAAGTAGCGCGCGCCGCTTCCTTCTCGAAATGTTATGGCAAGTGCTACGAAGTAGCGCGCGCCGGGCCAGATCATTAACAATGGTCAAGAATAATAACAATTTGACAATATTCTAATTCAAATTCTACTCAATTTCATTCTGATAGTGATAAAATTTAGAAATTGATGGGATATCCGACTATAAGTAGTTTGATAGGTGCTTGACCGGATATCATAACAATGATTTCGACTCATCTTGATCAGGGTAGCATGAAACGTAAAGAGAAATGATTTTCAGGGAAAAAGTCGAAGGGGGGGGGGGGGGGGGGGGGGGTGGGGTCGAGCCATTTTTACGTAATATTGCTGTCAGGGGGGGGGGGTTGTAGGTTTACAACCTACCAGGACGCGCGCCGAGTTGGACTCGTCGACGGTCCAATATATGGAACAGATATTTTACAAGTATCACCCATTAAGGGGGGGGGGGGGGGGGGGTTGGGTCTTGATTACGGAGGGGGGAGGGGATAGATATTGCTAAAATATTGACTACGTAATATGTGAACGACCCCTAACAGAATAATAAAACAAACTTGGAATTTTGATAGAAGCAGCTCATCTATACAATCAAATTCAATGCACACATCGCGATAACAGTAAAGCAGTAACACAGATAAGTCGGAAAATTCTACATTCTATGTCACAGATTTGGTGATTTAGCCAGTAAATTCTAAAATATGCAAGCAAAACTTACACTTACAGAGCTGCTTTGAACGCACTAAATGGCAAATTATTCGAAAAGTAAACCGAAACGCTGGACTTTAATGAACATTGAACGTATTCAATTTCGAATTCCGTGATAAATTCTCACGCGTTTTGAAAACAGTTCAGAGTTTTTTATTTAAAAAAAAACAACTCTGAACTGTTTTCAAAACGCGTGAGAATTTATCACGGAATTCGAACTAAATTCTCACGCGTTTTGAAAACAGTTCAGAGTTATTATATGTTGTAATTTATATATGAATCAAATTCAACGGAGTTTATCATTAGTGCGCCAAATGAACAATGTTTCCCATTTATTAAAATTCTATACACAAAATTTAGTCAAATTTCATTGCAAAAAAAACTAAACATCAAAAATTCAGGACATATCTTGATAATTAATAATTCCTGCACGGTCCCTGTCTATTGAAGATATAGACTATAATAGTCTATATCTTCAATAGACAATATCTCATTTTCATAACTTAATGTTTTCAAAACGATTCATTATAATATCATCTACAATCTATTTGGTGAGGTATGAAGACAAGGGTTGGAGGTTGACAGGTGCTCCACTGGAACGAGTCACAGATGGACTTTGAGTCTGTACCTCGACTGGTCTAATAGCTTTACCGGGAACCAGTTGAGGGATGGACGACATAAGGTTTTGAAGATCACTGGGTAGCGGTGGCAAAGCCACACTTGTCACGGGGAGGGGAGGCGGTGCAATGTTGGTGGGGGATGAAACAGCTGCTGCTTCGTTAGCGGACTGGGGAAGAGGCGCGAATTTAGCTAGCGGTGGAAGAGGCGGCTGATCTTCGATGGTTACTGTGGTAGAACCTGGCTGAGTGGTGGCTGGAGGTGGCGCGTTAAGCTGATTTTCTGTCTCCGAGATCACAGTTCTGGAGTTTAAATCTGGGTATAAGAAATTGGTATGCTAAAATAGTGCTGTAAGAGGGCGAATATTAAATAGTGGTTTAATTGTTGCCGACAAACGACAAGGTAGATGTTAATAAGAGATTAACATAATTTTGAAAATTTGTGAAAAGCCATGGTTTCATGGTTATAATATCTAATATAAAACTGCAATACAGGTAAAATCAAGATGAAACAAACCTGCGTTTTTCTGTTCTGACTTTGTATTTTTCTTCATCATATCCGGTTCTTGACCAGCCGACGCGTTAACAGCTGGTTCGATCTGAGTTTGCTGGGGTGGTGTCGGGAAGAGTTCAGTCTTGAGCGCGGGAAGGAATTTATCAATACGCTCCCAAGTTGTTAGCCAGAGTGTCCGCTCATTTCCTGTTGGGTAGTATCTGGTCACGTGAAGGCAGAGTTAAAGTATTGTCAAATTCCAGCATACCAGTCATACCGATACAAATATTTCTCATATCATGTAGTAAATCTATTACTGGCGGGAATTTCCTTTGTTCAGTGTTCAAGGAACTTCTTTCTGCACTGTGGGATGCACTCTTACTAAATAAATACTAATACTGTACCTTGTATCTGGGAAACGTGCTGCTCGTTGTTTAGCCGGTTTCGTTCCATCATGTAGTTGTTATCTACGTCGAATACCGCTGCATTGCTCATCACCAACAGCATGTTCTTCAGATTCTCTGGTATTGCTTCACCCTGGGCAAGAAAATATGTCATGATTGACAAGTATTAGAAATTCTTTGTGTCACAAGTCACGTACAAATTTAGTTCAAGGAATGTTAAGTTTGCCGCTTTTATTTTTCAATACCATTTAATTTCTGCCATGGCCTCTAATGAAATGTAATCTTAGTTCTTACGAAAAAAGGATCTATTTCAAGAAACACAATCAAACCAGCTGAATAGTATTTCCCAATCTTGTAGGAAAATCCGTATAAAAATGCTCTTACCAAAAGATCAGAGTTGCCGCTGTGAATGTACTTGTCCATGAAGTCCAATATGTCCAGCCACAAATCTGTAAATCCAGGAAGAGACAGTAGTGGACTGAGATGCTGTAGAAACGCCTGGAAAGAAAGAAGAGTTAGTTCTGGATAGGATACAGTAAAGAAACAAATTCCGGGCGAGCTATTCTCGGATCAATTTAGAATCAGAATGTGGTTCTATATGACAAACTTTGACATAAATAGTTTGCCCCGGAGCGGACTGATCCGGGATTTGTTGTTTCCCTACTGATCATGGAGATAATTCTATTACTTTATTAGTATTACTTTGTACTGATACAAGAGAACTATACAAAATTATAATCTGTACGGTCGAGGTAACCGTAATTATGTAAGAGTGTTGTAAATGTATGATAACAATTTGGATCTGAACCCAATCCAATGATTCATAACTTACAATGAGACAGAGAAGTAAAGCGTCGTTTTTTGAATGCAAGAATGAAACATAATATATTAATTAATGAAGTATATATAATCGCATTTCTAAAGTATTTTTGTTAAATCTAAAAATGTCTAATTACACACTTCTTGTGTACTAATGTATCCTACCTTATCGGCTGGAATAGTGAATGTCGTAAATTTTGGGCGGCTAAAACTATGGTTGCCAGTTTTAACAGGATTTTGTAGATTTTTAAACGAATTTTAGATAAAACGGTATAATAAAATAAATATAAAATTGTAATTCAAATTAGAGTTGTCGAACTTAAAAAAAGATTTAAGACGATGCAAATGTTGATCGGTGAAAAATGTGAGCGGCTAAAACTATGGGCGCAACGATCGTTCGAGCTCACTTTTTAACTGACTAATTTTTAGCCGATAAGGTGATCATTTAAAAATATACTAAATCAGAAATAGGTGCTGTTATCTGTCTTTCTCTAGCAGTACCGTAAATGAAGGAAGAAAGTTCACAAAGTCAAATTCTAACAGACCAAGATAACATTGTCAGATTATTCGTTAGTGCATCATTGCAGGTCTACTGTATCATTAAATCAGTCAGGTGGCAGTATCACAGTTCTTTAATCGCCAATATCATGACAGTTTTTGAGACATGGCTCGAACAGTTTATCTTTTCAGTTTTTATGGGATTTTTCGTTTTCCGTTCTTCTAGCCCGCTTTGCTTTCCTTTTCTTGTTCTGTTTCTTGTTCTTCCCAGCTCTTTTGCTTTTCTTGTCCCTCTTGTTTTTCTTGCCATTTTTCTTGTTCCCTTTCTCCTTGATTTTTTCTTTTTCGGCGTTCTTCTCGACCTGTGTTTTACCGTTGATTACAGTATTTTCTTGCTCCCTCTCCTTTTCTTTCCCACCACTCTCTTCAACACCAACATCCTCATTTCCAATATTTGTCTCACTGTTCGCTTCACCGCCCTCTCCGCCTCCCCGATTACAAAGCTCCGTTTCACATACTTCTATCCTGCAGGACACATCCCCCAGAGTAAGAGGATCCAGATGGGAGTTGAGCTGGTCGCACATGGTACTCTCTGCTCCGTGCCGGCACCCTCTGTGGATCAGATGGTTCTTTATAGCGACTCCGTAGTGGAACCCTCCGTGAGACACCCTCATGGTGAAGCAACCTTTGGGGCAGGAGGTGGTGTTGTGCGCGGCGCTGCACGTGGAGGGGGCCTCGGGGTCCGTGGAGTTGAAATCGCCGATGATCACGTGACTCTCCATACACTCTAAACAATTGGTAGCGTAGGTCGAGGTTACTGTGATGAGGAATATAAGAGCCTGCAAGTTGGACATTGTGGGGAGTAGCTGATGGGAATATTGATAGTAAATCACTGATTTGGTTGAGAGAAATTAGAGAAATAGTAGAGAAATTAAATGTTGAAGTCCATTTTTGTGCAAAGCTTTCCTAAAATTACTGTTGGGTTATGAAATTATCAATATCATGAAATTATGATTCATTATTTCGTGTCAGCTCATTCATACATTGGGCATTCAGAAATGCCCAATGTATGATATATGAATGAGCTGACATTTATGTATTTGATCAATATTACCACACGAAAGTCGAAATGACCGAAGGACCGGAAACTACTTGAAGACTCGACAAAGCATAAGCAAACAGAGATCAGAATGTTAGCAATGATAAACACGCCTCTTCACAGCAACCAATTATGTGGTATCATAGCGATGAAAAATAGAGATGCCGACAACTACTGTAATCGAGGAAATTGTCTTGTCAGAGTTTACAAATATATATATAAATCAGGAGATCACCAACCCTATTCTGAATTGATCTTGTAAACAGTACTCTGATATTATCTTAGTGAACATTTGGTTACATATCGATAATCTAAATTGATTTATCAAACACAATTAAACAATTGCCTTCGACATTTAAGATGACCGAAATAGTTATTTATAGAGTTATAGGTCTTCTATGAAGTATGAATTTCTACTACATCATCGTCGAAATCCACGAATTATATCAGCACATATAACAGAATTATAGTCCAAAGATTGGATGTGTTGAGCAATTTTTCATTACACGTACGGTATTATGAGCGCTGATGTAAGCAGGAGGCTAAAATCCTAACTATGCTAAATATAAAATATGCTAAAAATATACAAACCAGTAGCAAACTTAAAACTTCTTCCTCGATATCACGCCAGAAGAAAAATTAATACATTTGTGCTAACTTTTACTTTTTCTAGCTGACAACCGATCAATCTTGATCCTCAACGGAATATAATCCGGCTGAAAGCTTTACAGCCTGTTTAGTGTTTACAGTAATACATGTACTAATAATTTATGATCTAGTATCGTAAAGAAAAAATATTCACGGTTGAAAAAGCCATTAGATGATAAATATTTATTTATTACGGCCACAGCTAATATCCTTTATTATCTTCTCTTGGTACCAGTGTTAATTGAGTCGGGACAGTAGATTATAATTTACTCCACAGAGACAGCATTCGACAAGCGGCGTAATTAAGAAAACAATTAACAGATGGTCTAATCAGCCGAATTTGGGATCCAAAGCACATCTTCAGCCATCATACAGCACTTCTGACAGTTCTGTAATATTTTCAGAGCTCATTGAAAGCTTAGTTTGAAGTGGCAGATGGTGCTTTGGTTGCTGAAATGCCGTTTGTATGCCGCCACGTTATCAGAATTATGGCTGGTATAAAATCCAATCCCAGACATCCAGTTCTCCGTCTCCGTCTCCGTCTCCGTCTCCGTCTCCGTCTCCGTCTCCGTCTCCGTCTCCGTCCCCTTCCCCTTCTCCCTCTCCTTCTCATTCTCCTTCTCCTTCTTCTTCTCTTCTCCTTCTTTCAGTGTTAACGTTGTACTTGTGTTAAGGGGACATACAGCAAAACCGTTTATGATTACTCCACGCAAATGATCATAAGTAATCATAAACGGTTTTTGTGTATGTCCCCTTAACACAATGTAGCACTGAGAGGGATAAGGAGAGGGAGAAGGAGAGGGAGGAGAAGAGGGAGGAGGAGAGGAGGGAGGACAAGTGGTGAAGTGGCCATTGTGTATTAACAGCATGTGTATTGTTGACTAAAATGCTGTCTAAATTTGTTCGACGTTCATTTTGTATTGACACCCATCTGTTAACTAGTTGATTACAGTCAAACCTATCTATACTGGGTACTGCGGTAGACTGGGCATTTATCGATTCATATTGAATATATACGCGCTGTTCATTATCATTTTAAGGGTAAACGGTCGGGTTATTATCGCACGGCTTCTCGTACACCCTCTCCGCCGGCATACACTTTCTCCGGCCTGGCCCGGTCAAATTCATCAATGACATGATGGGCAGCGTCTGACAAGCTTATTATCACATTGTGCACGTCATATTATGTTAATTTTTGCACTATTAGTTCATTAAATGGAACATATAACATGCCACCAGCTCTTACAGATTTTAATTGCATTAGCATGAACATTAAGATAGATTAGAATACAGTAATCTCCGTATTGTTTGTAAGGTGCATAGTCTACTTCGTTGTATCTGTGAAGAGAAGTTGTCCTCTCATGGGGTTCTGATACCTGTAATGCTAATTTATCTTCCACAGAAAGCTAGTACAGCTGGGTACCTACCTTCTTAAACTTGGGTTACTTGCTCCCTATGAATTAATCATAAAGGTTTACCCGTTTACTGCAGATTGAACTGCTCCGAGTCTTTGTCAAATAAAATGACAATGGGGGTCACAACGTGATACAAGGTGTACTTGCTCCCTATGAATTAATCATAAAATGGTTGAAGCGCAGGTTTTACAAATTTAGTGGTGTACTGAAGATTAGACTGTTACGAGTCTTGTTTATTCCACTGAAGCTAGTTTGCTGATGTTACAGGTGTAAGCAGAGATAGTATAGTATTCCTTACAAATCTATAGATCTCTAACACTCAGGTTGTAATCGCTTCAATAAACACCGATTAGTATTACACGCAACAAGCACACATTATCTAACCGCTTTCACAGTTGGTCGCTTTCTGATCTTTTCCGTGTTGCCGGACCTATTGCTAGCAAGAATAAGCTGCGACTAAGTAGCTACTCAATTTGCATTGCTACAAGGTTCTAATTATCTAACCAATGAAATTCCAGTGAAATGATCCTTCAGCTATTGTTGTATATTTTGGTGCTCTCTACGACACAGTCAAACTCAACAACAGATCCATTTTCAGGTTTGGCAATATTATATTCGTCTTGTCAATTAACATGTCAGTCTCCATAATAAGAATTGTACACTCTATAATATGACTGATAACACCTACAGTGACTATATTTATTGTTAATTTGTATTACAACAGTCAAATCATAGATTTTTTTATGTCAAACTTTATAAATTCATTATTCATTTTTCAGTAACATGCAACTTTGAAGAGCAAGAAGGCTTCCTAAAATACGTCTGTAACACTGAATCCACGAGCTATACAAAGTGTCCCTACTCTGAAGAATACTACAACTTCAAACAAAGACCACCTCGTTTTAACATCACGTGCACAAACGACGCCCACTTTTACCAAGCCTGCGACAATAGGATCTACGGAATAATAACAAATAGCCGATTGTTATGTGGTAAATATTTGTGTCAATGGAATTGGAATGGGCAGTCTGTAAGTGTACATTCCATAATTCTCGGAAGGGAAAATCTAATTTGCAACGGTAAAAAAGACTGCTCTAATACAGACCTAGATGAGGCAAATTGTACAAAAGAGAAGTTCACGTTGCCAAGTGGAAGAGAAGTTCCTAGAGATGAAATTTGTGACGGCAAATGTGACGATGTTTGCGAAGATGAGGCGATATGTAACGGATTTACTTACGGACTCTACTGCAAAGTAGATCCCACTAACTATATTCATCCTTACCAAATATGCAACGGAAAGAATAACTGTGATGATGGCGAGGATGAAGCAAACTGTGACGTGTTAAATGATACAGATTCAGTTTGCAACCACAGCATGACATCTAAATTAGTACCAGTTCACAACTACACCCGATGTGCTAGATTTCCTGGTGGCAAAAAGAACAACAAATTCTATTGTAATGATGTGATTCAGAGTCAGTCCAATTGCAGTGATCCGACGAAGGTTGAATTATCTTGTCAAGTGAATGGGTACACGTCGAATGTGTCGAAATACATCATTTGTGGTGGACAAGAACAGAGCGCTTGTGATGATGGTATTGACAAGCTATGCCTTTCTCCTTCATATTCTTGCAAGAACATACACAAGCACTATTTCTGTGATGGTAATAATGATTGTAAAGATAAGTATGATGAAACACAAGCCTTCTGCAACAAAACAGTGGGACGGGACCTGCGAAAGAAGGGTCGGAAATGTAGGTGAACTACCAGTTCCTTTAGCATGGTTGACAGATGGTATCAAGGACTGCATTGACGGTAGAGATGAAGAGCAAATGTGGCCTACTTGTGGAGTAGGAAAGACCCACAGATTCGTAACAAACAATGAAACTTGTGAAAATGTGTTTATTTGTTTATCAGGGACTCCCGGTTATGTGGAAATGAGCGATCTGTGCGATGGAATTGAAACTTGTGGAAATGAGAACGAAATATGCTCAAAGTCCCGAATACGCATCAGCCAGCAACGAGTGTTCTAAGTTATGATAAAGGTTTGACAAAGAGACTGTCATTTTGTCTGAAAGGTATATATGGCCTACAGCCACACAATTTGACATGTATGTCTAAAAATTTCATTTTTCCTGACCACGAATTTTACGGTGTGGACACAAAAACCAAGTTGATTCTTCCACAAAGTCTACAGAATTGTGATTTCATGTACGGAGAACAGTACATGTACACGAGTTGTACGAACAGCTGTATAAACTCTCCTTGTCCATTGAAAAACTTTCCACGATACGAAGTCTGTCCTGATCAGTACCTAAAAAGAGTGGGAACACTAGCCAACAATGAATATCTGGCATTTTTCACAAGATCTTTTGGAAATATTTACACTAATCGTTATTTCGTGTGCGATCACAAGGCTAAGTGTATAGATTACTCTCAAGTTTGTGATCTTGTGGATGATTGTGGAGATGGCTCTGATGAATCCGCATGCACTAATCATTTTCAATGCAATTCCTCTGGTCACTATTTACCAAAAACAAAAAAATGTGATGGCTACTTCGACTGTTTGGATTATTCTGATGAGTGCAATGACCATTGCTCAAGACAAATTTTGCAAGGAAATTCACTAAAAATTTTGGCATGGACAATAGGAATCCTTGCCTGTTTTGCAAATCTTGTGATTCTAGTGAAACATATCAGCAGTTTGAAACAAAGTAGAAACATTGTTGTTCTTATAAACAAGTCTTTGATAATCCTCATATCATTTGGAGATCTTTCAATCGGCTGCTACTTAGTCATCATATCCGTTTACGATAGTCTTATCTTCAAGGAGAATTATTGCCTAAACCAAATAAATTGGATCACAAGTACAGAGTGCTCTTTCATTGGAGTCCTGAGCACCCTAGGCTCACAGATATCACTCTTTTCTATGACGGGACTCAGCATCGTTAGAATCTATGTCATTTTGAACTCTAGGAGAACCTCTGGCAGTATAAATGTCTCAAATTATATTTCTGTAGCAGTTGCTATATTATTGTTGGTCATGGTATCCTTAGCAATCGCAGTCATTCCTATCATTGAGTCATTTGAGGACTTCTTTGTAAACGGTATCAGTTTTCCAAGTGAAACGAGAATATTCACTGGGACTACAGAAAAAGAAACAGTCCTAAATGTTTTAGAGGCGTACCACGGCAGAATGGCAGACACAGTTGGAATCAGTTGGAAGATTCTTCTAGAATTGGTAAGTTCAATCTATTCCCATGATTTCAACTACGACGATCACACTTCAATGACACGGAAAGTTCATTTCTATGGAAACGATGGAGTTTGTCTCTTTAAATACTTTGTCGACAGCGACGATCCACAAAAGCTGTTTGTTTGGAGCATTCTGGCTGTCAATTTTCTTTGTTTTCTATTCATCTCAACTTCATATCTTCTCATCCACTTGATAACTAGCAGATCTTCAAACTCGTCTGGAAATCAACAAGACTCCGAACGGATGAGCAAGATGAACCGAAAGATTGCATTCATTATAACTACTGACTTTATCTGCTGGATTCCTTTTATAGTGATATGTACTCTTCATTCATTAGAAGTCCTAAACGCTACTCCTTGGTATAGTCTCTTCTCAATGATAATTTTACCCATCAACTCTCTCATAAATCCATTTCTTTATGACGACTTCTTGACAAATTTGGCCCTAGTTCCAATTGAAAGCCTAAAAACTATCATACTGAACTCTACTGCAGTTCGAAAACTTCGATCCTTGAACAATGTCACGCAGGTGGATACAATAGAATTGGAGCAGATCGAGGTCAATAAAGAAAACGCAGTTCAATCAACGACATGATCATTGTCGTCGTGAACTTATGACTTTACTATTTAGGAATTGAAATTATTTCGTAAATTGTAAAATTTCGATGTCAATATTAATTGATGATCTCCATATATTGATGCTAGCATTATATTCGCATTCAACTTTATAATATATATCATAGAGGAAGCGAAATGAAGGGTTGATACAACTTTATGGAGGGCGCGAAATGGAGTGTTCAAACCCGGCTGAAAGCTTTTAATTTTTAACTGTCTCAAAGTGGAGTTTTCTTTTCAAAGCAGGACTAATAGTCCGTAGGACGGGCATACCGGTAGTTTTTTAATACAACAATCACTGGAATTACCTTGCAAAGAAGAGTAGCAGCTCGCATTCGCGTCTCCTCAAGAGAACTCACGTCCGCAGTTACCGGTTCTAGCAACCTAAAGAATAAAAATGAACGAAAAGTTAAAACATTATAACCGACTAACATCGAGTCAAAAAGAACATTCATTAAGACGAAATAACAAATAGTAGTTCGATTCCTCAATATGCGAGCATGCCACTAAAATAAGTCATAAGCATCGAGAGCTTAGCTCCGAACAGTTTGAACACGTTCCAATTCTAACCTGGCTAAAAGAGGGAAAATAACTTGTCTGAAGCAAGCCTCCCACTCTACAGCAGCGAGAGCCCGCAGGTCGTGTGCTAAAAGTGCACGTTGCAGGTAAGTCAGACCAGCCTGAATGAGTCGGTCACAGTCATTAACTTACATAACTAATATAATCAGAAACATCTAGAATAAGTTCAATAATGATAACCGGTAAAATGGAAAAGTCTCTGAGGAATCACCTGGCGGACGTCTTTACGTGGATCACAGCAAACTCGAGCAATACCCTGTAACAACGGACACCAGCACCTCACCCAAACCTGTAACAGAACAGTCATAAGTTTCTGCGTAATATACGCTCAATCTAATAAAGCTCATCCGCAAAATTTTTCCTCCATTGCAAAGTTATTTTATCTTTTTTCCCCAAAAACGTGACAATACGTGAACGTCAAAGGACTACGAGTATGAATGATTTAAGCCACAGCGAAACAGTTAGTCAGACAAACCTCCCCGACGATAGGCTGCATTGAAGAATCGTTCAGAGGAACCCTCTGTCCCTCGACATTAGGAGGCTTGAAGATACTCAGAGCTCTGGTATGCAGAGTGTGCATCAGGTCCAACAGCTGTATCAATCCTGAAATAAGAAATTATAAATAATTTCCGTGGAGACTGTAGATGTGGGAGAGCCGAGAGAGAGAGAGTAGTAACCAAAAACGTATGTATCGTTTTAACTGCCAAAGCTTCATTTCAGTTGTTATGCCGCAGACCTCACTTTTATTTGGATAACGTGTTGTATTCAATTTATTTGAACGGTGCTAAAGAAACTCAAATGATCTCTCAAATGACCAAAAACCAACTGACTTATTTCATTATAGTAGGGAATTAGTATTTATGAATTCCGAGTATGAATATAATGTAGTCGAATTGGAACGTCGAATTGGAACGTCGAATTGCAGCCTTAAACTTTAAAGATAAGTTTTCTTTGTCGTACGTACCTGATTATTAGAAATTTCGAACATTCAAGGTTGGCAAACTTTAACTAAGTTATAAGCAAGACATAGCTATTGGGACTGAAAGAAGTGTCGATTCTGTCGAAGAATGGGCCACGTCGAATAAAAAATTGGCGACTCTTCCTATTAATTAATATAAAAATAAAGTGCAACAGACATACCGTGAAAATGGTAGTTCAAACAGAAAGAACAACGAAAGACTTTTGAAAAAAAACTTTTTAATAGATCTGAATCGATGCGCAAACAGAACTTGATGCCCTCGCAGAATAGCATACAAAATTAGTACAGTAAAAACCCTTACTTGAGTGGTCCTGAACGGCAACCCTTGATTGGGAACCAGTACTTAGCGGAGGAAAACCTTGTGTTCCGGCTGGGACTCAAAAAATCAAAACCTTATTTTACCATTTTCCTTTCTATTCCTTAAATTCTCCGGTAAATCGGGGTTTTACTGTATTTTTACGGAGGTTCTATGGAGTCGGCTGTTACTGTGTAACGTATGGTTTAAGCTATAATTCTAACCTGTAATATGCTCCTTGTCGTCCTGATCCTTACAAGATGAACTGTATGCTTCAGCAAACACCCTGACTGCGTGGACACACAGACTGAAGTTATCTGACCTGGGGGTTATGTGTTGTTAATATCTTTACTCTATCAGCGATAATACTGATGATAAATTGCGATTTTTGAGATGATTAGATGAAACTGAATCACACAAATTCTGCGGTAAATATCAAACTTGATATAATTTTGGGAATAGGTACCTGACGATTGAGCTGTCTCTGATAACGAGAGAAAGCGCCTCACATGCTTTACCCAAAGCCTGAAAATGCAAACATGTTACTCGTTATAAATACACAAAAGCAGATTGAAAACTATCATTCCGGCCTTCAAAGTTGCAGCACAAAATCAATAAGTATAAAACTAAAGTTGATTCAGAAGATCCGACTTACGCTGGGTTTGTGAGCGAAGAAAGAGTTGTGGAGTCCCAGTTCCAGCTGATTACTGCTCTTCTCTTCGTCCATGTATTCTATCGCCCACTGAAAATATACTATACAGTATACATTTACATCGAATAATTCTCATGAAGGACATGCTAATCCAAAACCATATGATTCACGAGATTCAGGAACTCGCTGGAATAAGAATTAATGAGCCAGGTAATTTGTAATTGGGATCAGCCCCGAAAAAGGCTGTTAAACCATCATCATCATCATGAGCGCCACAAGAGTGAGTTTCTGACCTGGGATATATCAGCTGGAGGTGGAACACTGTGTAATGATGTAGGTAATCGAACCTCGTCATCTACTCCTAACCATGTTGTTGGAGATCCTCTACCTAGATACATTATGAAATTAGGGCCGCATAATGGTCATTGCTTCATGATATTTTTTGTAAATCGAACCTTGACACAGCTGAATATTACCTCCCACTTAACCTTCAGAATTTACCTGTACCCGATGATAGATTATAAAATTTCAATATGGCATGGACTGAATATGAAACTAACTAAGTGGGACAATTCCTAAATTAGTTGCCGCCAAAGTCTTACCAGAGTCTGCCTCCTCTCCACCTGCAACCACCTCCTCAGCTGCAGTGGTATCTTGTTCTGTCTCTTCTGTCGGCTCAGCAGCAGCAGCAGCAGTACTCTCCTCAACAAGGGTAGTCTCCGACTCGGTGACTGGCTCTACTACCCTCACCACGACTGTAGGGGGCTTAGTTCCCGCCCCTGCCATCTCCAACAAGGCAAATATTATCCTCCAGTTCTCGAATGAAATGTCTGAACCGATGGATGCACGGATCAGCTCGAAGAGACCGTAGCAGATGCTGGTGCTGTTCTTCTGACCTACACTTGGTTTGAGGAGAAGTAGCATGATAGCGGAGTGTAGGACTTCGCATGAGTAGCTTTCTCTGCCAACCATTCTCACCGCTAGTCTGAAAATTATGAGATGAAATAATAAATATTATAACGGAAAGATCAGCCGAATAGTAGATATTCCAATCTAACATTCCTAAAACACAGCAACTAACCTGAGAAGAGTGACGATAGCCCGCTCCACAAGGAAAGAGTTGGAATTAGCAGGACTGATTAGAGAGTTGAGGTGAGTGTGAACTGGCACCCACAGTCTCCCCAACCTGTCTCTGTTTTCTAGGATTACTGTCGCCAACAGCTCTGAAAACAAGGTGTTCTGATAAGCTAGAGTTTCTTCAAAACAAGACTGTGTTATAGTTTAAAGGGTCAAGGGTGATTTAAAATTACAGAGCGGCTTATAAAGAGTAGGATTGTGAACCAATCTCCCTTCTCAAAATAGAAAATAATGAGTCACTGAGCGCTCACCAATGAAGACAGCACTGGAGTACTCTGAGTACTCTGTCTTATTCTTAGCGTGAGCATGAGGTCCAGAGGAGAGCTGGATCAACCACTGAACCAGCTCAGTCAAACTCTCTTCTCTCAAGTATTTGCTGTCCGTGAACAGCTTTTGTGGGTGACACTCTTGTACACACGCCTTCGCTTGTCTCTGTGGGGGTGGAATAATTAAATAATAAATATACCTTTATTGACATTGCGTATAAAATTACGTTTCGTATCTTAATTTCCTGCCATAAACCTCGCCTCACGAGGATGAGGGGGTGATGAAAAACTGATAAGCTGATAAGGGGTGTCGGATGTTTTTCAACCAATAGTGTCTCGACCTGTCTCCGATAAGCAATATCGAATAAGGGACTTACGGCACCACATTATTGATTTTAAGGACTCATATTTACTGCTGTTTGTTGTTTTGAATTTGCTGCACCGCTTGTAGCGTTGATATCGATTATCGTGACATAAATTTGTTTTGAGACAAGATTGAGATTTGATTGGCAGATCAAGAATTTTAATTTTGTAACCAGGCCATGGGCACAAATCGCTTGGCTCCCCTCCTTTAAGTATTGTCAATGCTATGGTAGTAGTGGGTGAGAATCCCACCTCTTTTTAGATAGAAACGTACATTTTTTTAATTACGTATTTTACGCCCGTTCTTAAGCTGTGCACTTTCGACCTATTCAAAAGTATTAAATTATACATATTCTGTAGATTCGCACTAAGCTTAACTGTAATCTAGTGACTATGCGACTCATGCGACTGTGGGTCTTTCTGATTTTATTCTGCCTTGTGTCCGAAGTTAGCGGAGGCCTTCGAATAAGACGAAGGAGAAGATCTTGTAAGTACTCACAACTATCTATTCCATTACCCCCCCCCCCCCCCCCCCTCACCCCAATTCTTATTGTAGTGGAAACATTTAAATTCCTATTATATCCTGACGCTTTTAAATTCTAACTAGTCAAAAGAGATCAATAGAAATTTACGCAAGAAAACATTAGTCTTTGTCGGAAGGCTGGTCCTTGACAGATGGATGGTAACACTAGCTCTTTTTTTAATTTAATAAGATATACAACTGTATTAAAACCATCACCATCATCCAGGTACAGCATTACACGGAGGGTGGTCTGGCTACGGTGGTTGGGGTGCCTGTTCCTGCCGAACAGGTACTAGGTCAAAGACAAGATACTGCAACAATCCTGCTCCTTCTTGTGGCGGAAATCCATGCCAAGGACCTACTAACATTATAGAAAATTGTTACACCCAGTGCTGCCAGCACTATGGCTTGTAATATTTTCGTATAGTAAAGTAAAGAGTGACACAAAACATTGAGTGTTTAAAAGATTTAAAGACATTTTTATTTTAATCGCGATAAAATTCTGAGGGTGCTTTAACTTCGTTGTTGGTAAACCTAATGTGGACCCTTGTTCCGATCACGCTTCAATTATTAATGTCGTAACTATGCAATGTGAATGTATATATTATGCATCATTACTAAGATATTATTGTTTCATTTTATCGTGTGCTGGAAATGAAATTTATGGGAAATCCCCTCTTCCTATCGTTATAATTATAGTACTATCAATCGAAAACTAAGAAATTTCATCATGAGCATATTATTTTACCAATGTGATAACCTTCCAGACTTAAAATCTTAAACTGATGAAAATAACCCTAGTTGAAAATAGAAACAAAGTTTACGGAAACAACTTGAAAAAAATAAATAATAACCTGAGCCTCCAGTTCCTGGGTGGTGGGTCCCCGTCCCGAGCTCTCAGCGTTAAGAAGAGAAAAGATAGAGGAGAAGAGACCCTGATCCGGTTTTGCTGGCTGCCTTTCCTCTACTTGGATCTGTACGTGTCCTTGTACAAAGTCAAACGCCTGCGGAGGAAAGTTGAATTGACGCTAAATCCGAGGGATAGATTGTAATGAATAGCGGAGCATGATTCAACGATCTTGGTTATTTTGAAGTTTTGCAATAAAATTCAACAGATGTAGCGAGAACATGTCAGTTCTGAGGCTCTAGCAGACAGAGATTATACATTATACATTATACATTATACATTATGTTATAACAGTTCTATTACCTGATACATGGAGCTAGGCATAAGGTTAGCTTTGTACAACTGTAGAATACACTCCAGAATATTCTTCCAGCCCTCTCTTAGGATGTCTCCGTGAGTGTGAGCCAGCTGGAACATGGTCCGGGCTGTCAGGCGGGACTTGGTGTTGCTTCCAAAATGTACCGTCATTGCTTCAGGGGTCTGTGGAGAGAGGGTTAATGTGAGGGTGAGGAGTATGTGTTATTGTTAAGAGGTTACTAGGCTTGGTGTTAAGATAAGTAATAAACTTTAACTTAAAATATAATCAGAGGAAAAGAGCAACTCATGAAAAGTTAAAAGTTATGAATTACAGAAGAGTTCCATTACCTCTCCAGTAGCAAGGAGCCCAGTGAACTTGCAGAGAGAAATAATGAGGTTATCAAAGACATCAGAAAGACCATAGTGAGCTGATACTGAGGCACACTTGTGGAAACCACTGATAGCTTTACCCGTCACATCGTCATCTAGTGCTGTGTCAAACACAAACGAGAGTGCAGCCACTGTGAGGGTTAGCAGTTACAAGTTACAAGTTAACTCAGTATAGTTCGGGTGTTAACATTAGCCTAAAAGTACAGGTAAAAGTACAGGTAAAAGTACAGATAAAAGTACAGGTGAAAGTACAGGTAAAAGTACAGGTGAAAGTACAGGTAAAAGTACAGGTAAAAGTACAAACAAGTACAGGTAAACACTGGACATTATAATTATTTCAATTAAATCGAAAATCAGGAAATCCAGCAAGAAGCTACAACTAACCGGTCTAGCATCTAGCGACAACTTACCGGTAGGACCCCAGATCAGAGCGAACAGAGTCTTATTGTAGAGCGAGGTTTTACCGCAAGGATAGTACACCGCATCCTCGTCTCTTCTTAACATTACCTTCCACCTGTACGACTCTCTCAGCTCTCCCTTGTGTTCATCCGGCATCTTTATCTCGTTTTCACTGAGTTGAAGTTTGTAAAATTTGCTCACAAATTAGGCCAGCTTTTTATTCCGCGAAAAAAAAAACTGGAAAAGACAATGTACAATAAGTATCCATAGATAAATGAAATCTTAGTTACAAGCACCTGATAGAATATTAAATCCAAGTTATATGTTCACTCTGAGGGCACGGCGAGAAGGCTTACCGTTTACCGCAGGAGGCCATCTTCCGTTGACCGTAACCGACAGAGATTTTCTAAGTTATATGTTCAAACTAAGTAATATGTACTAAGTTATAATAATCTGTAAATAATAATCTATAAATACCTGATAGATTTAAAGATCTCAGCCAGCATCTCCGGGGGGAAGTCCATGTCGTTATTGAGACCTCGCTGGTTTCTGATGAATGCTTCTGTGTCCATCTTCTTTATCGACGTGTTCTGATTGTGCTGCAAAACAAGATTAATAGATTGGGTCAGATATTAGGATCTCCTTGGCATAGTTCCAAAGGTTTTATGTATCCAAAAATAATTTCAACAAATAAAATATTCGACGAACACGACACTGTTATCTTATTTGCCGATAAGTAGTCACGTGGACATATTGCTCGATAATGATAACTGGTCTAGGTTAAAATTATTATCTTGATCTTGCTCGATGCTGACCGGTTGATTTTAGGTCACGTGCTATTTATCCCGATGCTGATTCGCCTACTAAACTCAAACCGTCCACCGTTATCTTGCTCGGAAGATAAGAATAAGAGGTTACATTGTTTGTTTGCTCAATACTGATTGGTTTAACGGATCATCAAGTGATCACCTTGACTAAATGATAGTGTCACTATATCTCTCTCTCTCTCTCTCTCTCTCTCTCTCTCTCTCTCTCTCTCTCTCTCTCTCTCTCTCTCTCTCTCTCTCTCTCTCTCTCTCTCTCTCTCTCTCTCTCTCTCTCTCTCTCTCTCTCTCTCTCTCTCTCTCTCTCTCTCTCTCTCTCTCTCTCTCTCTCTCTCTCTCTCTCTCTCTCTCTCTCTCTCTCTCTCTCGATGTTTATTGGCTCTCTGCATGGTCACGTGACCGAGCATCTGTCTTATCAGAACAAAAAATAAGCGAATTGAGTTAAGGGCGGGGGTTAATCTCTTACTATGCTATTATTTTGGATGTAACCATCTGAATTTAGAGATCACAAATTTGCGATGCTAAAACATTGGTTAGCTCCTCTGATCGACTGATCTGATTGATAAAACTTTATGCCAAACCTACAATTTTAACTTGCCAGTACCTGGTCTACAATTCTAACTTGCCAGTACCTGGTCTACAATTCTAACTTGCCAGTACCTGGTCTACAATTCTAACTTGCCAGTACCTGGTCTACAATTCTACCTTGCCAGTACCTGGTCTACAATTCTACCTTGCCAGTATCTGGTCTACAATTCTAACTTGCCAGTACCTGGTCTACAATTCTAAGTTGCCAGTACCTGGTCTACATTGAGGATAATGATAGCGTAGGAGAGGATAAAGGCTGAGTCCACGTTTGCAAAACCGCTGGTATATTGCGTTCCTGCTGTATCCTGAGGATTTATGTGTCAGGATCAGATATTTTGCTGCGATGTTATAAACACGTAATCCACTGAAATATCCATGATAGCAGACATAATAATCTGTTATAATTTCAGGAAATCTTCCAAATTTGATCCCACTTAATAAACTTCTGTCATGCGTGACTCCAAACATTTGAATTACCAAAGTTTATCACTTACAATCCAATGATCCGAGAAAAAGTTCATGATCCTCTCAATAATCTGGGCTTCTCCCGGAAGTCTGAAAGTTTCCAGAAATATTCGGAGAGCTTCGTGTATCTTCACATTCCGGAAATCAAATGACCTGAAAATACAGCTGTCAGACCTTGGTCGGCATGGAGTCAAGTGATAATTAGTACAATTATTAATACATATATTAGTGCAATTATAAGCTCTTCTCCGAACACTCTCTTTATGGCCAAGCCTAATTTCGTAAGTGATGGAGAAATATCGAATATTTCCTTAAAAGTTAAACCCATCCACTACAGACTGTATACTCGGTAGCACTTACTGTACGAATTTCTGTAGGTAATGCTCGTTCTTCTTCTTCCCCAGGAACTCTCCGATCTGTATCTTTTCCAGGTGAATGTTGGTGAAGAGGAAGTGAGCTAGTTCTGCTGGTTCAGTGCTCTTTAGGATACCTGCAATGAACAGATAGTTGTAGACCTTGAAAAGTTAATGGTGTATAGCAAGAAACTTGTACTACCCGTATTCACACTCAGAACTGAGTTTAGTCATTTTCCGATACGAGATTGGGGACGGGTTCTATAAACAAACAAACAAACAAACAAAACAGATACTTGTACTTCTGTAGACAACATAATGCTGAACATGTGCTGATTGATATGTTAAAAGTTTTACCAAAAGAGCATGAGAAGAGGGTTCTCACTTCTCAGTGCCCGCTTATCTATAACAACGACATACCTTCCTGTACAAGGTACTTGATCCCATCGGAAGGGTTCTGGTTGAATTTGTTGCTGCCAGTAAGGAGTTTGTTCTTAAACTCCTTCCTCTTCATCAGCTCGTCAAATGAGGGTAGGTCACTTCCCTCCGGTACTGTACTTCCACACAACTCGTCCTAGTGGGTTGGTCAAACACTTAGTATGAAAAAACATCATTTAGGAACAGAGAAATGAAGCTCCGCCAAATATAGTAACACATTTCCAGAATTGTTACTAGATTTAAACTGTAGTTACATCAGCTGTGAATACAGTTTACATATGTAAACTGGTTTACATGATCTGTAAAACGCTAACCTCTTGGCACTGAAGAGCAATAACGTTAACCACTGCTAGGAGCGCATCCAATGATAGCAGGTGAGTTATGTGCAGACCTGATAAAGTACTTGATAAACTCATAATTAAACTTGCTAGTTATTTTTGAAAATCAGAAAGTCAAACCTTATACCATTTCAAATTTTTGACCGCAATTCAAATATTGAAAAAGGAATCATACAATATTCTATTTCACGATTTTTTTTGAAAAAAAAAGTCAATTTTATCGAAATTTTGAATTGTAACAATCTTACTAACCTGAAACAGGGAAGGCGTTCTTGCTGAGAGCTTTAGTGAGGTCCTCGTAAAGATTAGCACAGTAGTTATGACAATCGTAGTTCAGGTAAAGTTCCGGGATGAGGCCTGGTAGTCTGCAGAGGTGCACAAGGGCATCCAATGCCAACTCTCTCCGCTCGTAAATTCCTGGGGAGTCATCTGTGGACTTTGTGATATATGCGTATTTTTTATCAATAAACTTTCAAATTGTTTCACAAATACATCATTTTATATCAAAGAAAATTATAGTAATGCCTGATTTCTTTTCAGCAGTATTCATAATCAGGGGTGTGCTTTTAGATTCCCTATTAACCAAATTCGGTAACAAAATGATTGAATTTTAGAAAGTCCAGCTAATGACTACTGGTTACTATGGTAACTAGTGGTACCTTTGCTAGGATCAGCCACCACGATCTCCATGAGAATAGTGAAGTATTTCTCCACCTGTAGCTTCATGTTCACTCGAAGGTTCTCCACAATGTAGTTACAGATACGTAACGCTTGTACCATCTTGCTGAGCGAGTCACCCTGATAGATTACACACCTTAAACACTAGGCTTGATCTTGATTACACGCATAAATCACAATGGAGTAAAACCCCGATTTACTGCAAACCCCGGCGGTAATTTCCCTTTCCCATTAACATACATTATGTAAACCAACCCCCTCATGCCAAACTCCGCGGTAAATCGGGGTTTCACTATGTTATGACAGATCAAACTTGGATGAATATCAAGTAACGAAACCAAACTGGACTTTGAATAAGAAGAAGCAACCAAATCCATCCAAATGCAAATGTACGGGAAAAATTACGTTTAATAATACGTCTTCGAGCGAGAAAACCCAGTTTTACAATACAAAATGCGGTAATTTATAAATCAAACTACCTGGACCAGCCTATAAAGGGCCCTGGAAACTTCGTTTTGGCACAGCTTCAGTAAGGATTGGTATTTAGCTAAGGTTGATCCACTGGTCTCAACTGCAACTGTTAGGAGACTTAACCCAATCGATATCATCTCACTGCTGTTATGCCTGTAATAAAATAAGTGAGAACCATTATTTAATATATATGTAGTTATACCCCGCTAATATCAACAAATTAAGGCACAAAATATTAAGTAGGTCATTCCTGAGTACTTAAAAAGTTGTTAAGTACTCAAAGTAATAAAGAAGCATATTATCTCCAGAAGATGAATATAGAAAGCCAACTCACGAGTCAGCAGGGTTGATGATATAGAAAGCCAACTCACGAGTCAGCAGGGTTGATGATATAGAAAGCTAACTCACGAGTCAGCAGGGTTGATGATATAGAAAGCCAACTCACGAGTCAGCAGGGTTGATGATGCACGCGAGGAAGCTGAACAGTTCCCTGATACAAGCCAGACCGTAGGGAGGTGAAGGATCGTTCTCCTCCTCGTCTGACTGCAGGAATTTTACTCCGCGGGAGTTGGTGAAGTTCTCTTCCTGAACTGACTCCTCTCCTGGAACGGTGTGACATTTTAAAATAGATCGTGAAGTTTTCATTTTGTTCACAGCCAAATCAGAAATACACTATGTTGCTGTTACAGCCCAGTTTTAATTATCTTTTTGTATCTTGTGATTTGTGAAAGAAGCAAGTCTGGGAAAATGGCAGAGGATCAGTAACACCGTAAGGAATACTCAAGATATTCAGTTTACTCAAGATAGCGGGATTGACTAGCAGCCACAAAGACGGCAAAGGAACTTCATTTTTATCTGTTTGGGAACACTATCATGTGAACCTTCAATCTATTGAAAACGTTGGCCAACTTGTAATGTCTATGTAAGAGTGTGGAGTCTTTATATATCGTGCGTTTATAAAGGTTAAATACTGGCAAATAGTTTAAACATAAACTTACACTAAATAACTTGAATGGGCCAGCTGTGATGAAGCAGTAATTTGGTTACTGTACATCATTTTAATTAAATAAGGTGATTTATATTGGAGAAGGGAGTTTTTACTTTTTCTACCATTCGAAAAAAACACACTCTGAAAAACAGACCTGCTCATAGTTACTACGTACAACAAATCCCTACTTCTCATCACTCTTTGTTATCACTATTAGCACTAACTACACATTAGCATTACGTACTAGCCTTCACCAGAAAAGCAGTCAATGGAAAAATAACTTTAACGGTTTAGTACCAAAATAAACCAAGCAACCTGTCTTTTCCATTAGCACATTTCGACGGAACATTAACCTTTTAAGCAGACATGTCTAACAACGATAAGATGAAGAATACTTCAGAACAGACCCAGCTTAATTGTGTTACTGGCCTCACTAAATACAGTAATCTTCGAATTCAGTGCTAAGGATCCATCAATTTTATTGTGTTTTTTTGGTTATCTCTAACCTCAGGCTTGCTTGGTCCGATTCCCGCTTACAGTTACACGTTCGGATATTGATAACTTCTTAACTGTTTCACCATTAATTTAGCAGATAGGTTATATAAACAGTTCCTTGACCAGTGAATGGAGAATTTGCTGACATGGTCATGGCCGACCACCCCAATTAACCTTATCTGTACCTTTGACTGATTTAGAGTCTACCAGCACGTTTCCGATAGTGTCCTGCTCCGCCAGGCTATCAACCTGAGATGTAGCGTCATCAATCACTGAGACTCCGTCGTCTACCGTACTTGCAGTTTCTCCGGTGACGTCACTCATTGTTAAGACAACGGGAGGAGTGGTCGCGTCGCACGAGGCGTCAGTGGGACCTGTCGTGGAAGAGGCGTCAGTGGGACCTGTCGTGGAAGAGGCGTCAGTGGGACCTGTCGTGGAAGAGGCGTCAAGAGGCACATTCGACTCACTTTGCACTGAAACCAAATAGTGTTTACTATCTGAGATATAAGTTGTCGATGACAATGCATTAGACAGCTTAAAAGCGATTGCGAAGAATTCTGCCATACATATTGTCTGATATGCGTAACTACTCGACTAGCAAATAATTTTACTATCATTTGGAAGCTTGCGAGCCTGTTTACTGTTTAGTTGAAGAATCAGAATCTCTACTAAAAAGTAAAGAGTTAACATGTCTGTTACCAGAATAAAACGAAACAAATAATCAAAAAGAAATGACCAAGCGTAGTGTATAAAATAAACAGATATATATTATAACTATAAGTAAATTACTTTTTTTGTTTATACTTTTATTAATAAGGGGTACCTGGAGGGGCTGGTGTGGTGGCGGGAGGGGCGAGGGAGGTAGGGCTGCCTTTAGGGGAGACTGGCCGGTCTCCAGTCGGTGTTGTACACTCAGCTACCACCTGGCAATATTGAAATATATTGAACACGTTTGTGATTATTTGGGGTTGAGCATGATTTGGAAAATAATGAAATTTAAAAAATATCATGTTCCAGTTTAGGTAATAATGAATTAAGATAATTTCAGAGGACACACACGGAATACCTCACAAAACACGACTCATGTGAGATTTTTAATTTTTTTAAATGGGTTATCCGAGCTCAGCAGTACATGATCCTCACTTGACACTTGGTGATCAAGAACAAGCCGATAGCATACAAAATCGAGATGTCAAACAGTTTGTAAAAAGCATCATTAGGCTGCCACACCCTGCTCTAGTGAACTTGAGTTCTAAATTGTTTTTTCTTCAAACCGTTCGTGAGTTATTATTATTATCACTGATCAATTGGTCGTTTGTTTTGAGACACCCGGTATAATAAGTATTTTCAGTTATTATATGTACGATACAAATAAAAGTACAAGCACAAGTACAAGTAAAGATCAAATTCCGGCTTCCACATTCTGATAACATAATCAAAGTACGTACTATAAAATGTTTTTCAATCATCAAAGGATGATTAATTAACATAATTAAGGACTGAGTTTCTTGGCTATAACAAGTATAATGTTAGATAACTGACTAAAAAGCTCTACTATAGCTATGGTCTACAAACTTAAAGTTAAAGCAGATAGGGTTAATAACGGTTAAAACACAATCCAACGTATCAGTCTTTTTGCTTGATAAAAAGCCAACTGGATATTATATGCTAGTGGTATTATATAATCCAGCGGTCGGGGGACCGAGTTGAGATATATATCACTGACCCTCCCAGATTTTGTAGTTTGCATTTCTGGATGTTTTCGATCATATTGCTCCAGGATTTGCTATATTGCTAGAAGTACTCTGAACTTCATTTGTTTTCCTTCTTCGCTGCCAAAGTTTGGTAAGACACATAGCAATTGCTATCTCAGTGATCTGGAAAAGTGTGAAGAATGAGAACCCGATAAATAAGTCTACTGTCCCTCCGAACTCTGCAATAAAGTTCTGAAGCTCGTAGGCTTTCTTTTGGACCTTGCTGTTCATCTTTAAATCATCATAGAATATGTGAATTCGAGCTACGTTCTCTTTCATTTCATTGTATACGGCAGTTAATGATTTATTTGATTTCTTCGAATCCCCCGTATCAGGGTCTATTAACCAATGAAAATAAGATGGGGAGACGGGAAACGGTCTTGATGTCACTTCCACATTCCACTCACGAGTATTGCAAGGTTCGGGGCAAGGGTCAAATACTAAGCTTCCATTTTTCTCAGCATTTCTTACCATTCTATTGCAAAGGTCCATCTCTATATAGCCACAGACTACATTCGAATAATTTGACTTGTGAACGGGCAAAGGCGTCGGAGAAAAGGAGCCTGATGCTGTAATATATTCAGTCGGTGTAATATCGTCAGTACGCTCAGGCTGGACGAAATCACCTGAAATTACCATCTTAACGTAGTCATCCAAAACATTAGTTTCATGCAAAAGTATCAGTCTCTCTGCCAAATACCATGGTATGCAATGGCACAATTTCATCACTGCTTCCATTCTTTGCCTCTGTGCGCACTCTCGGGCACTTTCGAAGTTATTGTAAAATTTTGAAAACTTGCTTGGAACATTTTTGCATGATCCATAAGGTTTTCCACGTCTATTGTGTTTGCTGAGTGTAAGTTTAAAGAAATTTTCTGTGCCAACTTGAATTTCATGACCCCCCCCCTCTGCAACTTTGTCATGATTGTCTCATCTTGATCTCTAAAAAAGACAACAAAACCTCTTGACGGCACGGTGAAGAGGTAATCTTTCACATTCGCATTCACATCTATTTGAAATCCTCCCTCAACTCCTACAGATCGCTGTATGAATTTCCCGTCATCATTAAGTTCAAGGCAATAACCAAGTTCAGTCATCTGCATATTTTTCCACTTATCAAGCCCAAAGAAAAAAAAACGATCCTCTCCGAAAATATAATCAAAGACGTCCTTTCTTTTTATCAATGTGTACGGGTCCTGCCGGAACCTTATAGCCAAAGAACCAGTCTCACGCTCCCATTCGTTAAACTCTTTGTACCTTTTTAATGTGCTTATTCTGGAATATTGACGTTCATCTTTTGCACTTATCTCTTTTAGCCAATTCAAGAAAACAAACTCGTCTTTCAGTTTCTCCCGGTAATCCTCGTCATAACCTTTTCCCAGTTCTTCTTTTAGTTTCGTGTAGTTAAGAGGGTTGGTATTGCAAATAGTTATGGCTGGTAATGTCAGGTTTTTCTTCCATATTACTGAAGACTCGTAGTAAGATTTATATTGGAAGTAATCATCTAGCAACTGGTAGACCATGTAGCCGGTGAAAATGAGGAGGAAAACAATTGTAATGCCCCAAACAGTCCTGCACCACCCCGGTCTATTCTTATGTCTCATGACTTGGTAATAATTAAAAAAAGTGTTTTTCTAGAGCAAAACGCGCAGTTTTGCTAGCACCGTAGTTAAGTTTTTCCAAATTGTCCCACATTCAAACGACGATTTGGCCCCCTACCCCCCCCCCCCACAGCTCAGTGGCAGTGGCAGTGAGCTTTTTCCGCGGAACCGCGTAGTTCAGACACAATCTAGCTTACTACTTTACATATAAGTTAGATTACAGATAAGTTGGCGTACAGATAAGCTGTATGCGTCTCACCGTACCGTTAATAATCTGTTGGTGAAGCTTATTAATTAACCGTAATACGACCGCAAAACGCACAATACTTGTACAAAGTTAACAAGCATATCTAAGTTTGTGAAATTTGCCGGAAGAGCCAGCATGGGGTAAACTAGGAGTCACAACAATCATTCGGACAACACCACCGAGACTTGTTGCTAGAAGGTTTATTTCTCTCTTCACTCACCTCTTTATTTCCATCTTCCTTTCCTTCCCCCTGATCTCCTTTATTCGACTTCTCTGATCGTAATTTGGTCTTCCTCGTTCCGGTTCGTGGTTTTCGCTTTACTCGTTTTGTGTCCGCCACGTGAAGACCACGTTTCAGAGCTTTGCGGATTGAGCTGGAAACTCCGAGAATTGTGTCGTCATCCTCAAAACCAGGTAACCTGTTATCGTTTTAGTGGGGTTAGCACTTGTATAATTGTGTGTACTGTCTGAAGTTGACACAGAAAACATTATCGCGCTGCAGACTTCGAGCCTTTTAGCGTTCCACCAAAAAACAACAGATCTGACCTATTCTGATTTCGTGCAAGGTAATGATCGAGTGTTCGAAATAATGTTCATTATCTTAAAAGACATCTTACCTCACGAAGAGAAGTCTGACCATTTCCACTAGAGTGTGTTCTGCTGTTTTGCGTAACAATTCTGAACACAAACGTGTAAATTACAGCGTCATCACAACAAAAACACACGTGTCCACATATTGATGTGGCTCATGTAAATGCGCGTTTTTCGCCATATACATGTTTTCGCGCGTTCCGCAAACTAATATTTGCCGATGTGACTGGTACAATTTATCAAAATTTGGAAATAATAATGGAGGCCGCCATTACCATTACGATAAATGCTAACCTGATAGCCTCATTTCAAAGCATATTCTGAAGCAGCTTTGCATGACTTCACACACCGCTTCGTTGCTTAGCATAGCACCAATTGGAGTCAACATCAATGTCCGCAAGACCTGAAAAATAACAATTAAAAAGTTATCTGAATAATGACCTGTATTTCAGACGGGGCGTGTTTTTCGAAGGCTCAAATTTGTAAATCGGCGTCAGATGCCTTCTCGTCGGTGCTTAAAAACCATCTGAATTTCCTCGGTTCAGTAACCTCTTTGCAAACAGGTATTTTTAGTCACAGATACCCTCATATTCTGCTGAATGACCTCTCAACAACTGTTCCTAATTTCTAGACAGTTTACAATTGACTAAATGCGATCTAAATTTAACTAGAAGACCAGACGTATTGTATACAACAGTAATCATAATTCTTTAATACTTATTTTAATAAAGACTTATTGAAACGGTTATTTGGCAATAATAGGTTCATGCTTCAATTTATAAATTTGTTATTCATTCCATATTATTTTCAGACGAATGACTGAGTTATTGAAAACGATTGCTCACTTGGGCATTATTATTTAATTGCCATCTTCAGATTCTCACTAAATATACAGATTTGTAATGATGAAATTTTGATTCTGAATGCACCTTAATGAGGGGATCTATTTCCCCCTCTTTCGTTTATTGCCTTAATAAATATTAAATATGGTACTGAAACGAACTCCAAAGTGAACCGTTGGTTTGATCACATTTCAATATCTTGATTTGACGGATTTCTTAGTGTTCGATGAAATACTAAGAAATACTGTGAAGTAAGTAAGCACCGCCTGCACTTCAATACACCAGCTAGTTCTATCCCCCATCTTCTTTTTTTCTGCAAGAAAATAAAATTCCAACTTCATTATAATTCCCCCTGAATTATACTACCTCTAAGTACAAATAATTATTTATCAGCACCACTTTTAGCGTTGATAATAATTGTTAGCTTTATTATAAGTCTGCGTGCCGGTGATGATAATTACATTCCTCAGTCTACAAGACAAAACTAAGATTTTAACTACAGAACGAAACGAGAACAATTAAAATCGCTAGCTTAAATTACTGAGTAAGACTAGGTGACTAGGAGCTGAGGAGGAGTATCGTAGTGAAATGTTTTATTTTGTTTAGGAAAAGCTTGATCTCGCGTTTTTAACTTCTTGAGACGTTGTTGATTGACACCAGGCTCATGACTTTTGAATAACTTAATAATTCCACTGCTGATCTTACTCAATTTGTTGGATCGTATTACTTTGTGAGTGAAGAAAAATTACTCTAGATGAGTTAAGATGTTTCCATAGTCTCGCTGATTTCAGACCAAAGGAGTTTCATTATGAGTGGCCATCTGTTGTTCAGCGGTTTTTAAATAATCATGAAGTCGTTTAGGAAAATTCATTAGCCATATTCCATTTGTGACTGAAGATGTGTCGCTCTCGTCATCTTTGCAGGTGCAGCATCTCAAGGTGATCCCAATGATAATCTATATGGCGGACTATAAGGCTATAATATCATGGTGAAGTTCCCCTAACACAATTAATGGCTCCTATGTCTGTGATTTTGCTGGGGTTTCACGCCGGATAAAAGGGATTCTAGCTTGCTTCTCATTATTGTTTTGAAGACGGTGAGAAATGAGAATTCTTTGGTATCTTGGCGATTTTAGCTCTATAAATCTGATCATTAGAATAATTTCATGAATTGCAATGCAAGGAAAATCCCAATAACATTAGAATATCAAATTTAATAATTTTTAACTGTTCATAATTGTTTTGTTTCTCATGTCAATTTAACTTAAATTAAATTTATTAATCATGATGTAAAAAACCTCATCATAATCCATAAATTGAAAAATGTTTATCTGTTCATAATAATTGTTTTGTTTACTATTTCAATTTAATATACTTCATTAATAATGTTAACATAACATCAACGATATCAATTTCTTAACAACAAAACATTTACTAACTTAATAAGCAATTTATCTCCCATTAATGACTAATCACATAAAATTACCCTGTAATTTCTCATTCTTCGTTCTAAATCCTGATTGGCCAGTTTAGTATGTACCAACAAACGACTACTGAGCAGAACATAGTGCGATGATATTTTGTAGACATGTGTGATGATGTGATGTCATAAATTTTACTTTACTTTACTTTACTTTTATCCCATGTTATAACGGTACATATTATTTCTGTATTATCATTGTTGCTCTCATATTATTGTATGGAGTATTTCCCTGAGGAGTAATGATAGAAAATTTCCATTTACCCCTCATTCTTCCTTCTCTTCCTTCCCTCATTCTTTTATAGTTTTACCAACTTCTTAACGAACAACTTCGAAAGTCTTTCAAATCTATTTTCATTCTATACCGCATTATATTTAATTTCGCATTTAATATAATAAAATAGTGGTTTTTAGTATCTTGCCATGCTATTTAAACGTCTAAATTATGGTACTTCATTTTTAACCCCCTATAGAGTCTCCAACTCTAAAATTGAACTAAGATAAGTTCAGGTACATCCTGATTCCAGATACCCAACTTTAAATCACTCTACATACTCTAGTAGCAGGGCATAGTTGAGTGTGCACTTCGATGTATACGATTTCTGACAACACAGGGTTGTTTGTTAGATCATTCTAAACCAGAATCGTTTAGGTGGACAATTTGTTTCGCTAGAGACAACCCTACAGGGCAAATTTTCTAAATTACCCTCAGTCGCGTATACGGGATTTTTGTATTTCGGCTCCTGAAGGTCATAGAGACTTCATTTTTGGCGTAAAATTACCGCAGTGGCCACATTTATGTACAACTTATTAATCAATGTATGGTCTAAAATTGTTTGTTCCCGAGATATCTGCAAAAAAACTAATTTAAGCTCCGGCGTAGGCACAAGTTTCATCAAATTTGTATCTCAGCTTCTGAAGGTCTTAGAGACTCAAACTTTGGCTTAAAATGACCGCAATGCACATGTTTATATTGACACTATAAAGGTCATGAAGGTCCAAAATGCTTGCTTTTGGAAAAAATCCAGAAATACTGATTTTCAGTGGGGCGAGTGAAAAAAATCTTCTCTAGAAGCTAATTGAAATCGAGTATGCAGTTTGGTGTCTACAAATTTTCTAGAAACGAGGTCCTTTGTAAGGTCATTCTGGATCAGAATTGATAAGGTACGCAATTTCTATCAGTAGTTCCAACCCTAGGCCTAGGGGGGAAATTTCTAAATTACCCTCAGGCGCAAATATATGACTTTTGTATCTCGGCTTCAGAAAGTTGTAGGGGCCTCTCTTTTAGCTCAAACTAACTGCAAAAGCCACATTTACATACAAGCAATAAAGCAACATAGTGTTTATACTTTTATAGTGCTTAGCTTTGGAGATATTCATTAAAAACTGTTTTAACTTTCGTGCATCCTAAAATAGTAACATCAAACATGTAATTAATTTTGGTATCCTGGGCTAAAAAAGTCTTACAGACACTTTACTTGCAGCACAGCAAAATTTTCAGCATGAACACATTCAGATAATATCTATGGAGCAACACAATTCAGTTTCAGAAGCTCCTTCCAGCTATCTTATCTTATCCCCAAATTTATACATCTGACCATCTCCCTGGTAGCTTCCATCTCGTTAAAGCCAAGGCTCGACCGGGACCGCTTGTTTGACCGGGACTGGGACTGGGAAAAAGTGCCAGGACCGGGATTAAGACCGGGACCGGGATTAGGGATCGGGATTAAGCCGGGATCCCGGTCTTACCACATGTTGGGCTCCCTCCAGTACTGTTAGGCTATTATGGCTAATCAACTCCGATCCAACCTCAGCTCATGTAGTAGAATCTACTTCTAGCTTCCTTCAATTTTGCTATCTCCACTCTAGCTCCTTCTAGCAATCTCTGAATGCTATTTCCTGCTCTATCTAGCTTCCACCAACACCCAATAATTGTTGTTTAAATGTTACCACTAGCACCTGCAAATTCTAGCCCTATCCAGCAACCTCAGACTTACTCCTACTCTGTTCAGCTATCGCCAGCACCTGCAAATTCTAGCCCTATTAAGCAACCTCAGACTACTTTCTGCTCTACAGCAGGGTGTCAGAATTATTGGCGTGTTTGAAATTTTATGTGTATTTTATGATGAAATCAATATTTTTCGACGGGTCATAACTTTACTTCTGAATATCGAAATTACAAAATTAAAAAACTGGTCTGTAGACAATCGTCTGAACTTTTTCTTAATTTCAGAATTTTTTTGTTGATGTACCTCAAAACCCATAATTTAGGCCGTTATTTAAAGGGTCGATTCCATACTTGGTTAGATTTACGAAGGAGTAAGGGATTTATGTGTAATTTTTTTCCGGTGAATTTTTTCTGAAATTATTCTTTAGACTAAAGTGCACAGCTCTTCAGGCGATAGCGAAACATATAGAAAACTATAGATTTTATAAAAGCTCTCTTTCTCCTCTAACTGACGCAATAAAATATAATCAGGCGGACTCATCCCGGAATTCAGGGGAAGCAGCCAAAGGCTTCAAGTCCAATAATCCAAATTTTTCTCTTTCGTCGTGATTATCGACGAAATTTAACTTCTTTCGGACTTCATTTTTAGACTGAACTGTAGTATGAAGGATTATTTCTTGAATGATCAAGACTCCATAGGAAACTGACCCTCAGAAGTCAAGTAATGATCGTTTCTAAAAGCTTGGGTAAGCTAAAATTTTACGCAAAATTGTATACGCGCCAATAATTATGACACCCTGCTGTATCCAGCTAACACTAGCAAACGGTACCCACAAATTTTAGCTTTTTCTAGCTACTTCGGGCTACATCCATCCATATTCAGTTGGTTGAGCACTCTCAAATTCTATCTGTTTTTACCTAATTCATGCTACCTCCAGGCTCCAGCTAGAATTTGAGGGTGCTTGTGCTATCTGGATATAGCATAAGGTAGTCTGAGTTTGCTGGATAGGACTAGAATTTGCAGGTGCTGGTGGTAGCTGAACAATAATTAGTGGGTGTTGGTGGAAGCTAGATAGAGCAGGTTAGTAGGTTTCCTCTTCCTCAATGAGCTGGAAATTGTTGAATGCAGCTGAG